ATCCCAAAGGGAAATCCCTTGGAGGTTCTGGACCTACATGCTATGGACCATGGTCTAGATATCCATGTTACCTGGGAATAGGCCAGCTCCAGGAAGTAATTGACCATAGTAACTGCATTGAACTCAGGGCTTTTGGGATCCTCCACCATGGGTTTGTCTGCACACAGCACATCCCAACACAGGTTCTTCGGAGGGTTGTAATTATTGGGGAGCACACCTGTAAACCAAATTGGACTCAGCACCCCAGACCTTCCCTGGGGTCAGAGCCTGCCATGACCCACCCAGAATAGACTTCTGAATTAGAAAGGGCTGGTACAAAAAGAACACATAGAGCCCAGCTCAAAAATCATTAAAAATTCTAGGATAATCACAGCATATCACAAAATCATACGGGGACCCTTCTGAGCCTGCGGTCTTGTGTGACTGCCCTACCCTTCCACCTTCTCACCTGTGAAGAGGTCGGCAGCTGGGGGCTTCAAGCTGGCACTGGCCCTCCACACCTCCTCCATCTTCAGTTTCTTTTGCCGAACAATTTTATCTTGATAGTCAATGCGCCCAAGGAAGAAGCCATCAAAGCCCATCTGGAGTGCAGAAGGGGTGGAGTGAAGGGGTGCAGGTGCTTCTTGCTCAGTTGGAAAAGACAGCACAGAAAAACTACGCACAACTAAAACTAGGTTTTCGGGGAGAGGGGTTGGAAAGCTGGCTCGGTGGCTAAGAGCCCTATCTGCTCTTTCAGAAGACCAGGATTCAATACCCAACGTCTATATGGTGACTCACAACCGTCCATTATTCCAGTTCCAGGAGATCCTACAACCCTCCTCTATGGGCACCGCACACACATGGTGCACAGACATACACGCAGGCAAAATATATTAAATAATACATGGCATAACAAAACACCCATACATTTAAATAATAAAACTAAAGAAAAATATAGCTAGATTTTTTTTTTCTTTCTGAGACAAGGACTCAGTCCGAGGCCATGCTGACCTCAAGCTCACAGTCCTCCTGCACCAGCCTCCCAAGTACTGATATGACAGACATGGGTCACACAAAGCCTGTGTACTTCTAAGCTTGAGAAGGGTCAGCAAAAAAGAGGACGCTCTAAAGACAAAACCCCTTCCATGTCGCTGGTTATGTCAAAGCCAAAAGGAGGCTTTTCCACACTCTACAATCCAAAGTGGGGATACGTAAGCACAGACAAGAAGCTGGTTCTGAAGCAGGGTAGCGCCATTGCTCAGAGAGGAGCCTCAACCTTAGCAGGCTAGTGAAGTCCAAATTCTAGTAAGGCCTGGGCAAGGGAAGAGACCAAACCAGCTGGAGCGAGACAAAGAGTTTAGACCTGTGGTGCCCTAGGACATAGACCAAGGCTTGAACTCAACTCCCTAGAGTTAAATTCACCCAGGAATTGGGGCCTCAGCAAGTCAGGGTCTAGTTCCAGGAACTGTTAGAGAAGGGCAGTGTTTGAGCAGCTAAAGGAAGAGTCAAAGTTAAGGGGCAGGTCCAGGAAGAAAACAGGGAAGCTGGCACCTGGGCAAACAGAGAGGCCTGTTCTCGAGAGTGGCCAAAAGGGTCAATATGCCAGGCTACACGGGGACGCCCACTGCCACCGAATGTATCTTGCAGGAAGCGTAGCCCAAGTGTCATCTGGTCCACAATAGCACCATAGTGGGTAGCGGCCTCGTCATTCATCACCCAGCCGCCATTGACAAACTCCAGGCGCCCTGTGCAAGGGGCACAAGGGGAGAAGGGTGTGTGTTAGGAGCAGGGCTATCATGAACAACGCTAGGAAAACTGACTGGACTGTTACTGAAGCTGGAGAGGAGGGGAGTTTCCAAGCCAGTATGTTTAGATCTGCATGACAGGCTTCCTGGGAAGCCACTGGAGGCAGGGCCTTGCGGGACACAAGTCTCCACATGAAGGGGGATTCTAAGCAGGCTGAACTATAGATACAGTGTGTACACACAATGATATGATACAAATTCCACTAGAGAAGCAGGAGGATTTCCACAAGTTCAAGGCCAGCCTGCTGTACATATCAAGTTCCAGGTCAGGAAGGGCTATGTAATAAGATATTGTCCCAATAGATAACAGTAATAAATAAATAAATAATCTCTGAAATCAAGCTGGGCTGGGCTTCCTCCTCCACTCCTTTGGGCAGGCTCACCCTGGTGCACCAGTTCCCGTATGGTGTCCTTTGTTTCATTTGTCTGCTCCTTCCACCAACGGGAAAAGAAAGCCATCTCCACGTAGATGAAGCGACGGGTGGGATCCTCCAGCAGAGAGGAGATTACCGAGTCTAGGATGTACTGAACAGATGCGTGCTGAATATCATTTAGGACTGTGGACATAAAGGTCAGGCAGTGAGAGACCACTAGGAGACATGCCTTGATACAAGAGTCCAGATGACTCAGTGTTCTCATCCCAATGTTCACGTCCCTGAAAAAGTTAGCGGGCACCCCCCACACACACTCTCTACTCACTGCCGTAATAGTACTGGTCCACTGTCTTTAGCCATCCTACGTCATCATGTGTATGAGGCAACAGGTGCACGTTGAGCATGCCCGGCTTCACTGGGGGACATGTCTGCACAGAGACGCCAAAACAGACACATTTGCTGTGAGTTGAGAGACCGGCAGGTTGGGGGCTCTGAAGTAGAATCTTTGCCTAGCATGTCCAAGACTATAGGCTTGGCCTCTACCGTCACAGAACAGGCAAGGAGGTGGTAAAGCACAAGTCTTGACTCTGAAGTGACAGAGGGGTCAAACACTCAGTTAGGTGGTGGGGGCGCATGCCTTTAATCCCAGCACTTGGAGGCCAGTGGATCTCTGTGAGTTCAAGGCCAGCCTGGTCTACAAGTGTTACCAGGACAAAATCCAAAGCTACAGAGAAACCCTGTTTCGAAAAAACAAACAAACAAAAGCTATCATCATCTGTCCCAGGCTGTCTCAAGTAGGACACACCAAGTATTGTGCTCATAGACACAAGTCCCAGTTTGTACAAACCCCATAGAGCAGATTTCATCCTCTAGAGTAACAACTTTCATAGTAGCTGGAGTTAGCTAGGTATTCACAGACAGCGGGCAAGCGGCCTGCATTGTGGTGCAATATTAGCTCTAGTTGTGCAGTGAGGCACGGTGTAGAGATATGACTTGCACAAGGAAGGAGTCAAGAAGCAGAGGAGCCAAATTGGGACTCCAGGCAACCTGAAGGGAGATGACTAGGGATGAGCAGCCCAGCTCACATACTCTTACTCTGGAAGTGAGGATGGGGAGCCCTTCCACGTGATGTGGTCAGATCTGCAAGGCTGGCTTTTCAACAGAGCCACGCCAAATGGGGATCTGGGAAATGCACTGTCACCAAACAGCGAATTCATGCAAGTGGAACCATAGAAAGCACAACCCGTTCAAGCTTGGAGTCCTGTTGTCAAGAAGCGCTCATCCTTAGCCCAACCAATCACAGTTAAGTGCATGCAAAGTCCAAGCGGGGAGGTGGATACAGCCATGAGCAGCCCTGTTCTCAGGCGCACGCCAGACCTTTTCAGAAACCCAATGCACGCACTTAGAGCACACCACCAGATCAGCAGCGGTTACTATATAAATCATTGTCACCCACACCTCTGGTTCAACTCCAGCCCAAAGACATTTCCTCCCTCGGACCCCAGCTCACCTCGTAGCCCGCGGCCCAAGCGCCAGGTGAGGCCAGTAACAACCAAAATAGAAAAGAAATAGACAAGACAGGCGAACCTAGAGTGCAGGAGTTCATCCAGACCCAACCAACACTCCTGCCACCAGCACAGACACCAGAGGCCAGCCGTGGAGTGCCCATGGTTCCGGAGAGGCCGCTTCCGCGGGCTTCCCTAACCCAGCTAAGTTCCCGCGAACGCTCCGCCCCCAGAACCCGAACTAGCCAATCAGCGCGGAAGAGGGCAGGGCCTAGGCCGTCTACGCTCTGTGGCTGTGGACTTGGGTAGTGAGGAATTTAGATGCTAGGGAAGTACTGAGTCTGTCCCCACCCCCATTACACCCAAGGCTCTTTTGGCAGCAGACCTTAGCTGTAAGGCTTTGCTATGCTTTTGTATGAGTGTGGGCAAAGGATTCAACGTTCCAGTGGACGTCAGTGTTTCCTAAGGGGTGGAAAGTGTAGAAGGGATTCTAGGGTACCACACTCTCTTTAGGGCTGAGGTCCTAGAAGCTAGGGTCGAAAACAGTTCTGGTCTGCCTTGTGAGGCTTGGGACAAACCGCCACGGAAATGTCAGAGATGTCAGAGATGAGGCCCTCAGCCGGGTCTGAACAGCTGAACAGTTGGAAAGCGCATAGGAGGGGAGGGAGAACCCTGAGTCTTTCGTACCCTTTCCAACCCCTACAGTCTGTTCATTATTCTGTTGCTCTAATAAGAAAAGCCCAGGCCAGAGTTTGGTGTGTTGGTATAGAGCTGTAATCTTAGCATGCTTGAAGGCTGGAACGGGATATTACCATCCCCAGATACATGATTACCAGGTCTGCCAGGGTTATACAGAACACACAAATACAGCTCTGGAGTACTGAACCTGTGTAGGATGTATAACACCATGAAGTTCATGTCCAGCACCTCAAAATAAACAAATCGATAAATAAATAAATAACCAAACAAAAAAGAAAACCAAAGCCAAGATTACTTAGGTTGGCAGGGCCAACAGTCACCCAAGTGTGGAAGTAACTGTCTTGCCCCTGATGCCTAAGACATGAGACTTGTGAAATATGAACGTTAACTCGTTTAAAAAATCTCGGGGGGGGGGGGACACACAAAGGACAGTCTTCGCTGAGCAGAGCACCCCAGGAACAAAAGAGAAATAATACAAGTCAGCCAGAGTGGAAAATTTTATATCAACCGGTTTCAACAAGAAAACAAGTGAATACTTTTAGAAACATGAACAGGGTTTCCCATAACAGTGGCCAGGGAAGGGATGGTAAAAGGGAAGTCTGTGGGTTACCCCTTTGTCAAAGCAAAAGCAGGACCCAAAGAACGGGACAACTTCCCTCCATTATGCTGGGAGACCAGAGACAACACTCAGGCAAGTTGAAAACAGCAGCTAAGGGTAGGTTGGAAATAGCCAAAGGCTGGGCCAGAAGGCGGGCAGGAGTCCAGGATCCAAGCCCTCCAGGTGACATCACCACGGGGGTGTCATGGGCTGAGGATTCTGCAGATAGGACATCACCACGGCAGAGATTGAGAGCCTGAGACAGAAAAGAGGTGTCAGCTCCAGAGCAGGCATGGTACCCCATCCCCTCGCTCAGGGTCCTTACATGAAGCTACTCATCATTTGCTTGGTGTCCTCCGAGCTCCGGGAGTTGGCAAAGCTGATAAAGGAACAGTAGACGGCAACCCAAGCACACCATTTCAGCTGAAGAAAGGTGGGTGGGGACATTAGATCAGTGAGAAGTATGTCAAGAAGCCCTCACAACCCAGATTCTCAGAATGTAGGAGCCACCTGCAGCTTGGACCTTGTCCCCAAGAAGTACCTCAATACCTACCCTTCAGAGCTGCTTGCTGACCCTGGGTGGGTGGGCGTGTGGGGGGGGGGTGTTGTATCTCTGACCCCACCACATTCCCACATGCTAAGGACCCTGCCCTTTTTCCATAGTCGTCTGCAAATTGCCTCAAACTAAAGCCCACCCTCAAACCCGCTCAGTTACGCACTCAATCCCAACTTCCCCTTTGTTGGAGGCGTCACCAAAGCTCCGCTCACCGCAGACCACAGTCCCCATCCCCTCCTCTAGCACCCGCCAAGAGGACTCGCCTCTTTCTGAACCCGCCCCCAGGCCTCATTTTCTGGAGGAGCGACACCCAGGGAAATTCAACCCCGCCCACCTTAAGCATGAGGCCGCACATGCTAAAGATCATGCCGAGGAGATTCATGTAGTCCGGCGTCGGGTCGTCCAAAGCTGGGTTGCACTCGCTCGGCGGAGGCTTATACCTGCGACATGTTCAAGGGTCAGGAGCGATCAAGTCCCACCAGGGCTGACAACTTGGCCTGGACCCACGGCCACAACCAGAGATGCCTTGCCATGACTTGCTGGACTGCTCACCTCAGCACTTTGTTGGGTCTCCGTGGGTCGGACATATTGTTGGTAGACATTGCGAACTGAAGACCACGCCGTGCCTCTTTCACTGCTAGACCAGCAGCTTCCGGTGTGAGAATGAAGGGTTGCTTTTAGAGTAACACCAGTAGCCTAGCGCTTCTGCTCCCAGGCCCAGGGCAGCTCTCAGCCCGAGAATGGAGAATAAGAAAAGGCCAGAATCGTTCCTGAAAAGTAGGCAGTATGGAAAAAACTGAAAGTAACCTTCAATATTCCCAACACTGTCATTAACGCGATGAAAATCTGAACACGGAAGTGCCAGGCAGGAAATAGATCCTGGGGGACAATAATAAGGTTACACCCGACCAAGGGCTTTTGAAAGCCTGGAAGCAAGGCAGTCTCAATACAGACAGCAGCAATGCGGATAACAGTCTAATGCGTTTGAAATATGGCTTTTCCTGAACCAAAGCCACGGGCCCCGGAGCTGCCGCAGAAACGGTTGAAGACCCTGGACTGTGGTCAGGGCGCGGTGCGAGCCGTGCGATTTAATGGTAAGCGTCCTCGCCTTCATCCTGGGCCTCCCGCCTCCTGAGGCCCGGAGGTCCCGTAACCCTCTCCTGCTGCTCCCCAGTGGATGGCAACTACTGCCTGACGTGTGGCAGCGATAAAACCCTAAAGCTGTGGAACCCGCTGCGTGGGACGCTGCTGCGGACGTACAGTGGCCATGGCTACGAAGTGCTGGATGCAGCCGGGTGAGTCCGGGGCCAGACTGGGATAAGGAGTGCAGAGGCTAGGATCCTAAGTGGATATTGACCTTCCCTTTCCTGCCCACCAGTTCCTTTGACAACAGCCATCTCTGCTCTGGTGGTGGAGACAAGACGGTGGTGCTGTGGGATGTGGCAACTGGGCAGGTCGTGCGCAAATTTCGGGGTCACGCTGGAGTGAGTACAAGCCAGAAGACCCTCATTAACGTGTGCGTTGCGGAGATCCATATTAGCGCCTAGGTGGTTCCGAGGAAGATCCTTCCATGACAGTCTTCCCGTGTGCCCATCACCTACATCCATGCAGTTTCCCCAAGGACTTTTCACCCTTCCTACCAATAGCGTGTGTCCTTGCTCTAACGTGCACCTGGAGTCTCCCCTTTATCCCAATCTTCCAAACACCCCTCCTCTAAAGTAGTAATTCCTGTTTCCCAGAAGGTGAACACCGTTCAGTTTAACGAAGAGGCCACAGTCATCCTGTCTGGTGAGTCTAGGGCCTAGACAGCAAGAAACCAGTTACTGCCCAGAGGCTCAAACCTGACCTCACCTTTATGTTGGCCTTATAGGTTCTATCGATTCCAGTATCCGATGCTGGGACTGCCGTTCTCGGAAGCCTGAGCCAGTGCAGACGCTAGATGAAGCAAGAGATGGCATATCCAGTGTAAAGGTGTCAGACCACGAGATCCTGGCAGGGTGAGTCGGTCCAGGAGCTTACTCCTGCCCTGGTGTCACTGGAGATCATAGTAGACACTGTGTTTTGGAGACAGGGTCTTATGTAACCCAGGGTGGCCTTCAGTTCCTAACCCTCTTGCCTTCACCTCCCAAGTGCTGAAATGATGAGAGTGAGCCATGGTGGCCCAGCCCTGTGATACAGGCACTCAGGAGGCAGAGGCATTTGGATCTCTGAGTTTGAGGCCAGACTAGTTTACATAGTTGAGTTCCAGGACGGCCAAGGCTATGTGGAAAAAATCTTTTTTTTAAAACAAAAACAAAAAACACCATGCTTAACTGCAACCTAGATCTGTTTTGTTTTTTTTTTTAAAGATTTATTTATTTATTATGTATACAACATTCTGCCTCGATATATGCCCACACGCTGCCAGATACAGGTGGTTGTGAGCCACCATGTGGTTGACTGGGAATTGAACTCAGGACCTCTGGAGGAGCAGTCAGTGCTCTTAACCTCTGAGCCATCTCTCCAGCCCCCCCCCCCAGATCTGTTTTGTTTTTGAGACAGGGTCATTCTGTCCTGGAACTCACTATATAGACCAGGCAATGCTCCCAGCCCCTCCCTGCCTCCTGAGCGCTGCACCTCAAAGCTTGGTCCAGCTCTGATAATTTCATTCTGTAAGTCAAAATAAGTAGCCCAAAACCATGGGGGATGATGAGATGGGGCCATAGTTAAAAGCACTGGCTGCTCTTCCAAAAAAACCTAGGTTCAGTTCCCAGCACCTACATGATGACTTACAACTCTCTATAACTTAGGTTCCAGAGGATCTACTACCCTTTTCTAGCCTGTGTAGGCACCAGCATGCACATGGCACACAAACATATATGCAGACAAAGCACAAATACACACAAGAAACTTAAACAATAGTGTATGGGCATCTGTATGGGGGAGTGATATGTGCTGGGGGTATCAGCAGGTCAGAGTTAGGCATTAAGGTCCTCTAGAGCTGGGGTCACAGGGAGCTGTGAGCTACCTGATGTGCCCCACTCAGCTTTTTGCTTTTTCATCGTTTTTTGAGACAGAGTTTCTATGTAGCCCTGGCTGTCCTGGAACTCACTCTGTAGACCAGGCTGGCCTGGAACTCACAGAGATCCACCTGCCTCTGCCTCCTGAGTGTGAGATTAAAGGCATGCACCACCACTGCCTTAGCTTTTTTTAAGTTGAGTGTGTGTGCGCGCATGCACAGGCATGTGTGGAGGTCAGAGGACAAAGAGTCAGTTCTCTCCTTCAGTGTGTTGAGGCAGGATCTTTCTTGCTGTTTCTACCATACTGTGTACTCCAGGCTAGCTGGCCCTTGACTTTCCAAGAAGATTCTTCTGTCTCACCTCCCATTTCCCCAATAAGAGTGCTGGAATTTTAGATGCCCACTACCTTGTCCAGCTATTATGTGCGTTCCAGAGATCAAACTCAGATCATCAGTCTTTTTCCCCTGCTGAGCCCTCTCCCCAGCCTAAAGAGATCACTTTACTTCAGTTTGGTGATATAGAACTCTGTTGTGGGTGACTCCACATTGTACCAGTGCACACTTTATTGGGCTACGCCTGGTTGGCTACTTTCACCTTCCACTTCCACCACTGCTGTTACCTCCTCTCTCCATCTCCCTTGTTCAGCACAGGCTGCTTACTGGGAGAACTGTGCAGGCTCTTCCAGTCCAAGAGCTAGGCAGTACTACTGCCTAGCAGGACAGTCAATAAATGTAGCCGTGGGGCCTGGAAGAATTGTTCAGTGGTTTAGGGCACTTGTTGCTCTTGCAGAAAACAGTTTGATTTCCCACATCTACATAGTGGCACACATCCAGCTGAAACTCCAGTTCTAGGCAATCTGACAGCATATTTTGCCCTCAACAGCAAACCAGACACACATGGTGCACATACATACATGCATGCAGACAAAACATTCATACATATGAGATAAAAATAATCCAAAAAATTTGATAAAAATATAAATAAATGCAACCATGACCCAGGCATGGTGACACATGCCTTTAATCCCAGTACTTAGGAGGTAGAGACAGATAGATTTCCAAGTTCCAGCTCAATCTGTTCTACATAACAAGTTCTAGGCCAGCCAGAGCTTCACAAAGACCTTGTCTCAAAAAAAAACAAAAGTTACTAAGTGAGAACTGTGGCAGGTGTGGGGACATCCATCTCCCCAGCAGTGAAAAGGCGAGGGCAGGGGACCAAGAGTTAAATGCCAGCCTATCTAGAGCTGTGCAGTGGTGGCACACACCTCTGACCCCAGCACTAGGAAGAAGAGGCAGGTGGATCTCTGACACCAGCCTGGTCTACAGAACAAATTCCAGGACAGTCAGGCCTACAGAGAAACCCTTCCTCAAAAACCAAATAACTGAATGAATGAATGAATGCAGAAATGCAACTGATCTAATTGCAGCAAGAACACCAGGAAGTCATGAGACAGCAGCTTTAGGTGGCAGAAGTGGTAAGATTGTTCATAGTAAAGGCCTGGCATGAGCAACCATGGGTGAATAAGAGCCATCCAGTGGCAAGCCAGAGGGAGAGCAAGCACATGTCCCAAGATGATGAATACGTGCCACAGGCGGGAGAGGCTGAAGGAATGGAAGGAAGGGTCCAAAGGGCTGCAGGAGGCATTTGAACATTTATTTTTCTGAGAGTAGTGAAAAGCCATGTTTCTTTGAGGGAAATACTGGCATGAAGTGGCTGTGCTCTGAAAGTTTCCCCAGTGAGCCAGGTGTGGTAGGACACCTTGTACTCCATGAGTTCAAGGACAGCCTTAGCACAGTGAAAGGAGACCATCCAGGCCTGAGTTCCTGTCTCAAAAGGGATGAAAGCTGCTTAGTGGGTTTCGGCATTAAAGATGGAAGATTACCAGCAAACCCTTCATCCGTGTAAGAATAGGATGGTAGTGGAGCAGGAGGGGTGGAGTCACCCCTGAGAACAGTGCTTTGGTAACTGTAGTAGGCTGATTTCAGGATCTCCCAGGGAGAGCACATTTTAAGCTGTCCAGCCCTCTATAAAATATCTTGCAGAGTCTGCACACTCTGATACGTGATTCTGGTTTGTGTGTTTGCTGTGCTAGGTTGGAACACAAGGCCTTGTGTGTGACACAAGGCCAGCCTGGCCTACAGAGCGAGTTCCAGGACATCCAGGGCTTTACAGAGAAACTCTGTCTTGAGAAAACAGATAATGATAACCTTATAAAATATAGTTCTGCAGTTGGTCAAATGTGCAGATGTAGAACCCAGAGATAGGTAGGGTTGACTGCTGTACCAGTCAGGAACTGGAAAGCTCCAGGGATTTGGAAAAGAGGGCATGGTTTTTGAGTGGGACCAAGTTGTCCCCTGGACCTGAGTCACAAAGCAGAAGAGCACCTTTTCCTTACACTTTCCTAGATGCCCAGGAATGCGTAGGGGCACAGGCTGCCCCTGGAGTAGAAGACTGCAATGCTTCAGGCTGGATCTACCTTTTCTTGCAGCTCCGTGGACGGCCGAGTGAGGCGCTATGACCTAAGAATGGGGCAGCTCTTCTCAGACTACGTGGGCAGTGAGTGTGGCCCTGGGTCCCAGTGGGACAGTCAAGATAGAAGATGGGGCAGGCAAGAGTACCCGGATTCACCTGCCTGTCACACTCTCTCCCAGGCCCCATCACCTGTACCTGCTTCAGCCGCGATGGGCAGTGCATTTTGATATCCAGTCTGGACTCTACTTTGCGGCTTCTAGATAAAGACACAGGGGAGCTGCTGGGCGAGTGAGTCTCCACGGTTGGCCTCCCCCTCCCCATCCTTCTGAGGCTAAGAGGAACAAGCCTGATTCTACCCACCCTCACTGCTAGGTATGTTGGCCATAAGAACCAGCAGTACAAGCTGGACTGCTGCCTGAGTGAACGTGACACACACGTGGTCAGCTGCTCTGAGGATGGGAAGGTGTTCTTCTGGGACCTGGTAGAGGTAAGCCTTCCCCTTTGACTCCTTGCCAGGGCATCAGCTGTGTGTTTACCTCAACCACTCCCAGGCCTAAAAAGAACAATGTTGGGTATTTGAGCTGAGACCTGTGGGAGGGAGGTAGAGGTGGGAGTGTGTCTGACTCTGATTCATCCTGCCTCAGCCTCCCAAGCTGGAACTAGAAGGAAGGAAAAGCAGGAAGCCTATTTTAAGAAGGGAAACAGCATATGCTAAAGGACCTGGAGAAGGTGCTGGCTGTAGCTGGTTCCAGGTCAGACAGGGCTGTAAATGCCAGGTTGAGCTACTGAAGCAAACCCAAGCGCGAGGAGCCAGTGCCAGCCACTGAATCTGGGCTTACATCACCCAGAAACCCTGATCTGCATATGGGTTCCATATGGCTTTAAACCCCAGATCCTGACATGCCCCAGATGGACCATTTTCTTAGTGAGGTCAAGGTTTTAGGGCCTCCAGGAAGGAGGTATCAGTGCTGGGGCAAGCCAACAGAATTAGGCTCAGTAAAAGGACTGGAAAAAATAGATCTTTGAGACCAGCTCTTGCTTTGGGAACTAAGGATGGTCTGTCAACTCTCCTGAAGAAAATTCACCTTGAAAGGCACACAAAAAGATATTGTTAAGGTAACTACGGGGTGGCGAGGGAAATGACAATCGCTGGGTCTGCCAAGTAGACCTGTTAGTACCCAGAGTGTCAGGGAACCGTGAAACTCAGAACAAGACATGCCTGAAGCAAGTGGTGGCTACGAGAGCAGAACAGGTGCCTCGAGTCTAAGGACAGTGCCGAGCGTCCCCTGAAAGGAAAGGAAAGGCTGGGCATGTAGTACGTGTGTAATCCCAGCAAGTGGGGCAGCTATGACAGGAAAACACTGAGTTCCAAGCCTATTATCTCAGCACTGTATTGCAAATAACGAAGGGTTTGCTGAGCCAGGCAGTGGTGGCACACGCCCTAAATCCCAGCACTCAGGAGCCATAGGCAGATGAATCTCATGAGTTCAAGATCAGCCTGGTCTACAAAGTGAGTTCTAGGACAGCCAAAGCTGTTAAACAGAGAAACCCTGTTGAGGTGGGGACGGTTTGCTGCAAATTTGAGGTCAGCCTGGATTATAGAGCCCTTTGTTAAAAAAAAAAAAAAAAAAAAATAGTAATAACAATTTTGTCTTGGGCTGGAGAGATGGCTCAGCGGTTAAGAGCATTGCCTGCTCTTCCAAAGGTTCTGAGTTCAATTCCCAGCAACCACATGGTGGCTCACAACCATCTGTAATGAGATCTGGTGCCCTCTTCTGGCCTGCAGACATACATACAGATAGACTATTGTATATATAACAAATAAATATTTAAAAAAAAAAAACAAACAAACAATTTTGTCTTGTTTTGGTTTTTCGAGACAGGGTTTCTCAGTAGCTATAGAGCCAGTCCTGGAACTCGCTCTGTAGACCAACTAGCCTCAAACTCACAAAGATCTGCCTGCCTCTGCCTCCCGAGGGCTAGGATTAAAGACATGTGCCACCATTGCCCAGCAAAAAAAGAAAAAAAATTAAAAAGGAAGGTAAGTGAGACTTCCAAGATAATTAGCACTTGGAAGTGGGGTTTGGCCAGATGACATCTGTACTGTTTTGTTTTTCGAGACAGGGTTTCTCTGTGTAACAGCCCTAGCTGTCCTGGAACTAGCTCTGTAGACCAGGCTGGCCTCAAACTCATGAGATCCACCTGCCTATGCCTCCTGAGTGCTGGGATTTAAAGGCATGTGCCACCACCACCTAGCTGACATCTGCAGTGTTTGAGAAGCCACTAGAGGCCGGTGGTGGACCAGTGTTAAGCACTTGCCTAGCATGTGCAAGCCTCAAATCCCTAGCACCCCCCAAGGTACCAGGAACACGCAAACTAGGAAGAAACAGTAAGGTGGGGGTCACAAGGCCAGGGCCTTTCTATGTCCAAGTTTAGAAGCCTCTGGGATTAAGGGTGTGGCTCAGTGGCAAGACTTGCCTGGCATTCTCAGCACCACCAAAAGAAGTCAGGGGAAAGGTGACTGAGGACGTCAGGCTAGATCTCAAGGAGACAGCCTGATCACTAGTAATTGTTCCCCAACATTCATTCCTTAGGGTGCCCTGGCACTGGCCCTGCCCGTGGGTTCTAGTGTGGTACAATCATTGGCTTACCATCCCACGGAACCCTGCCTGCTGACAGCCATGGGGGGCAGCATCCAATACTGGCGAGAAGAGACCTATGAGGCAGAGGGTGGAGCAGGCTGAGGCTTTCTGACACCAAGCCAAAGGACCCAGACCAACTCACAAGACCTAACAAAGACCATTTATTTATTCTGAAGACGCTGCTGATCAAGGACTAGGTGGGCCCAGGGAGGTGTATAAAATTAATAAATAAAGGAATAGCAAATACCCCCAATCTTCACCAATCTTCTTAGTCCTCATTCTTCTCAGTTGTGAAGGCATCTGCCTTTTGGGCAAAAGTCTTAGCGACCAGCAGGGGGAAGACCAGAGAAGCATCAGCATAGACCTGCAGAGAAGCTGTGTGAGCCATGGGACCCATGGCCATAGCCCACAGACTCACCCTAGGCAGCCAGCTTCTACCTTTACTGGCTGAGCATCCATCCGGATCTTGCCCCAAGAGACAGCCTCATCTGGCCGGGCTCCTGAGTCTGAACCATCAAACTCCTGGGCTGTGTTGATGTAGACAGCATAGTCAGCCCCATTCCGCTGTGGGCAGAGGAGAACCTGGTCAGAAGCCAGAGCCAGGGAGAAGGCTGGGGTATGACACAGGAAGGCTTTGAGAGCTTCTAAGAAGGGCCATCTTCAGTGCCTGAAGTGACTGTGCAGGTAAGATGGTCCATGTTTCCAACACAACCACCTCTACATACAAGCTCTTCCTCCATAAGCTAAAATGTACCACTTCTGAGACCCATGTGACAAGTCAGTTAGCTACAGGCAAAGTAAGAATACTGTCTGTACAGGGCTGGAGAGATGGCTCAGCAAGTAGGGCATTTCATGCTCTGACAGAGGACCTGAATCCAATTGCCATATTCATGTCTGGTGGCTCACAACCATATGCAAGTCAGCTCCAGATGATCCAGTCCCTCCTGGGGACTCCCGTGGGCACCTACACTTTACTCAGAGGTGCACATAGGCACACATGTATCACATAATTAAAAATAAAACCATCTTTAAATATAGCGTATGAAATTACCTTCAAGCTATATTCATTCACATTTAAATTCTGGACATTATTTCCTTCTAGGTTTCTGCCCCAAAATATGTATGTAAATATCTCAAATTTTAAATATAAAAAACCAAAACACTAATCCAACACACTGGTGTTACCAAGCATTTTAGTTAAGGACATTCGAGCCAGCTGTACTGACACGGGCTTGTGGTTCCAGCTACTCGGCAGGGCAAGGCAAGAGGATCCTTGATCCAGGGAGTCAAGACCAGCCTGGGCAACAAGGAGGCCAGTCTCAAAGAAAGAACGCAGAGGACTGCCGAGTTGTAGCCAACACCCTATGCTCAGCAGTAGCTCCTGCTGCAACCAACCATATGAGAAAAGCAAACCTGTTCCCGCACTGCTCTGCCTCAGACCCAGAGGTCTCAGCAAGCTCCCGAGTCCTGGCGTCACCAGCCTCACAGGACAGGGTTCAAAATCCTCCACAGGCCCTGCTAGTTCTGCGGTGTAACCTCCAGGTCTTCACCGCTCCACTATCAGCTGCTCCTTGGCTATTTCAGGTGTCTCAGGGCCTTTGCACTGGCTAGTCACCCAATGGGAATGTTCTTCCCATAGCATAAGGCCTGTGGGGGGCACCTCTAGAAAATGTCTGCTCACGGTCACATTTCCCAGAAGCCTTTTCCAACCCTCCCTTTATTAAACAGCATTCCTTTCACATTATAGTATTCTAGAATAGCCCTGAACTGTGTACAGGCCATCTCCCTGCCTCAGTCTACCAAGTAGCTGGGTATAGTCACCTTGCCTGACTGACATCACTTATGTCCTTACAATTATTGCCATATAACATGCATGTCACTTCTTGCTGTCTGCCTGCCTGCCTCACTCCAACCTAACTGCACAGAGAAAGGGGATTCCGACCCATCTAGTCCACTGCTGTAGTCCACGCCTGGCATGCTGTATGCCAAGGGCCACCCCACTCACCATGAGGTTAGCATTGGCGATGTGGTGCTTGACCATACCTCCACCCAGGATGATCATGCCGGAGCGCTTGGCGAAAATGGCCTGCATGTTGATGAGTCGTAGGTCTGAGAGGGAGGGCTGAGGTCAGGCACTGGCCTCAGTGCACCCTCCTCCCTCTTCTCCCAGGGCCCGAGCACCTCACCTTCAACGATGTCCAAAACTAAGCCTGGGTTTTTGTAGGAATGGAAGAAGATCATGTCACCCAGTGAGCCATCTGTGAGCGCAGGGCTCAGCACAGGAATGTGGTTCTGGTGTGGAGACAGGACCAGTCAGCAGCTACAGCTCAGAGCCCAGAAAAACTCTGGTCTGCAACCCAGTGGCATCCTCCCTCCCTCCCTGAACAGGCTGCTTATTTCTCTGGTGGACATGAGGCAGATAAGAGGAAAACCATACACGCCTCTACGTAGGTGTCTGGCACACTGAGCAGTGGTTCACCATTTTCCAGACTCTTGAGTGCCACTGTCTCTAGGAGCATGGTACCCTGGGTCAGGCCCCACTGAGGTCTTAAGCACTACAGCTAAGGAGCCCCAATACTGTAGGGCATAGCTAGGAACTAGAGCCCTTCATTCAATAGCTGACCTAGCCTCTCGGGGTTTGACATGCCTCATCTAAGTCTGGGAAAACTAAGAATAATTATAGAGATTCCCTGGTAGATGCAAAGACAAAACAAGTCAGCGCATGCCAAAGCTTAGGGATTCGTCCCCACCAACCCACCTTATAAGCCCAATAATACACAGATTCTGGGTTGTTGATCTCCTTGCCAAGTCGGGAGATCATCTTGGAAGGTGTCCACTTCACACCCTAAAGGAAGAACATCAGTATTAGCCCGGATGTCTTCTGACTCCACTAACCAGGTCCTCCTGAACTCTTCCAGCCCTACCTCTGTGTTCTGTTCCAGCACCATCTGGTCCAGAATGGGCATGAGCCAGTCCTCAAACTTGCAGTAATTATCGTTTGGCACCAGCAGGTTCCCAATCCTGGGGATGGGAGGCACATGGGCATCAGTCACCAAGACCCTCGGCCCAGGTCCCCTGCCCCACCGCTACTCGGGGCCCCACCTGTTGATACCATTCTCCCGGAGCTCCTTCCCACTGAGGCTGAACTCGCCAAGGTAAGTGGGTGCCAGGCACTTGATGATATCTTCTTCCACGCCTCCAGCAGTCGTCACCAACACATCCACCTACAGGCACAGAAAACAAGGCTCGCCTCCTTCTAAGCCGCACTCCTGACATCAGCCCATACTCATCCTGACACAAGCGTGCAACAAAACAGCGCCTGTTCCTCTGCTTAAAGCAGACCTGTAGCCAGAAAATGTAGCACACTCCTGTGATCCCAGCACTCAGGAGGCTAAGGAATAAGAACTGCCAGCATGTTCAAAAACAAAAACCCATCTCCTCGCATCCTTTTTTGAAATTACTTTTTTTTAATGTGTACCAGTGTTTTGCATACATCCCTGGAAATGGAGTTACAGACATCTGTGAACCATCACATGGGTGCTGGGAACCAAACCCAGGTCTTCCACAAGAGCAGCAAATACTCTTAACTTCTGAGCCTCTTCAGAACCTTCTTCATGTCTCTTAAATGAACAGCAGTTTTATTATCCACTTGCCCAGGGAGGTTGAGGCCACGGACCTAACATCGACCCACCATGTTGTGCTGCACGAGGTAGCGAATGGTCTCCCGGATGCCCGAACTGATGAGGTTGGATGTGTAGCCCAAGAAAATGGTGCAGCCAGTGAGTGGGCGGCGGCTCTGCGTCAGATCTTCGTGATGGTCTTCATCTTCTGGTAGCGGCTCCAGCTTCTTCTCAATCTGCGCATGAGGGCACCGGAAAGTTGCACTGACTCCGACCCTCAGTCGAGGAACCCCAGGTGGCCTGGACTCCGTACTCAGTATTCCTGAATACTGAGTAGTAGTCCGGAATACCGGACTATTTCGAAACGAAAACACAACCCCTGCGCGGACCCTACTCCCCGCTTTCCCGTTTCAGGTCTGTCACTTAGGGTTTGTCCCCTTTTAGGAATCACACAGCATCTTCTTTTCAAGCCCCCTTCCACTGCGAGAAGCTACTCCAAGGCTCTCCCGACCTTAAGCTCCTCCTACAATGTCCTTCTTTTAACCCCAAACTCCCCCCCATCCCAGACTGCCCATTTACCAGGACTCCGCCCCGCCCAGCCACTCACACGAGGATCCGCGTGGCGCGGTCCCGCCCTCCCGTCCCGCTTCGGGGCCGCCCTGCGCCTCACCATGGCGTTGACTTGCTGCACCGCGCGTCCAAAGTTGGTAGCCTGGAAGCCGGTGGTGCCGAAAGCCTCCAGAAGTGCCTGATAATCTACGCCGCGGTTGAAGTCGTAACCTTGCACCTTGGCGCTCTCGGGCGGCAAGGCCGAGCTGTGCTTGAGCACGGCGGCCAGCGCCGCGGCGGGCGCCGCCCCCTGCGAGGTCCCCTCCATGCGCCCTTGGCCGCTCTGGGTCACAGCCGCCCGGGTGCTGAGAAGCGCAGAATCTCTCCGCGTGGTCGGCCTGAGCCCAGGAAATGGGACTCGAGAGCCCGGGGTGGAGGAGGGCGGGGTTGGAACCGGAAGCTATTTAGTCATATGACCCAGGATAGCGCCTGCAGTCCTGGTAGCGGCCATTTTACTCCTGTGTTCCGTACACCGGCTCCGGGAGCCTTTTTTCCTGTCATCGGACTCAGCTTCAAGCGAATGAAAGTGCCTAGTTTGAAAGTTGTCTGTCCAAATATTCCTGCTCCCTGTGAGTGAGATGATTGTTCCTAAGATAGAGCCCTTGAACAGGATTTAGGGCATCAGGCAAACTTAGTTGCAGCCTCTTGTCAAATAGAATAGTGATTCCTTTTGGTGCCTCCCACAGTCTCCACAAACTTCCTTGCTTCCTCTGCCCTGCCAGCCTCAGTTGTCACCTTCCACTGGATCATGGGCCTCTTATGGGAGGCAAGGATGACTGCCATCTTTTTACTCCAAGAAGCACCTATTATTACTAATTCTACAATTTGTGTAGTCTGCACTAAATAGTGCTCTCTGTTGGGCACTGAGATTCAGCACTGAACAAACAAGATCTCTGCTCTCCTCATGTCCGTAGTCTGAACGATGAAACAGAAAACTGTGATTAAACCAAGCTCGGGGTACACACCAGCCTGCAGTCAGGAGGTGGAAGCCGGAGAATCTCAAGTTTCAGGCCAGAGTGAACTATAGAGACCCTGTCTCAACAAAAGAGGATGGTGTGGCGAGGGAAATCACTGCCAGTGAAGCCCTTGCTTTGCAAGAGTGTGGATTAGATGTGTGTGTTCAATTCCCAGAACCCAAATTAAAAGAGATAGATATAATGTCTGAGAGGGCAGTGGCAGTAATCCCAGCCCTGAAGAAGTAGACAGGCAGATCCCTGGGCTTGTGGGATGGCTCGGGCTCAGTGACCAAAGGCACAGGGTAAAAGGAACGAGCCTCAGACTCAAGTAAATTATCTTCTGACCTCCATCCGCAAGCATGCCGTGCATGCACATGCTCACACATGCACAAAATAAAAGGTTAGGGGCCAGGGGGATGTGTCCTGAGGAATGACATCCGAGGTTGTGCTCTGGCCGACAGCACACACACACACACACAACCTCAGATGTTAATACTCAGATAAACAGAGGCCCCGGTGATTTGCATGCAGAGGAAAGAGCAGGTGAGGACACAGCAAGAAGCTGACCCAGACCGTGACTTGCTGGCTACCCGAGTTCAGTCCCCAGGACCAACATGGTAGAAGAAAATGGACTCCAGAAAGCTGTCCTGTGACCTCCACATGCACCTCCCTTCCCCCAACACACACAAAATACTTCTGTGACAGTCTCACCATGTAACTCTGACTGGCCTGGAACTTACCATGTAGACCTGGTTGGCCTCAACTCACAGAGACCAGCCTGCTTCTACCTCCTGAGTGCTGGGACAATGAAGGCAATTTTAAAATAATTTTTAAAGAGAAGTTGATGAAACAGTTTCTAGAGACACCAGAAGCAGCACTCTGACCTCCAGCTACCCAGTCAGCAATTCCTGTTGTTTATCCAGTTCAGTCCATGGCATTTGTTATAGCAGCTCAAGGCTAAGACCCTGCTGGGTGAGTGAACGAAGGAAGGAATAGCACAGCAGCGTCAGGGTGATCCCTGAGGGATAAGGGGCAAGAATACGAGGCTGGGTGGTGGGAGTAGCTAGAGTCCCAGCTACTCAAGGGGATGAGGCAGAGGAAGCCTCAGCCTAGGAGAGAAAAATGATACGTAGCCAGCCTGTCTGAATGACAATGATGGTGTCAATCATATAAATAACAAGAGAAGACGGACAGCAGCACCCTGTGGACCGTGCAGAGGATGAGTTTACTGCAAGAGCTGCAAAGCAAGTGGAGAGCAGTTTCTTGATTTTCTTGCAGGGTCCTTCTATGGCCCAGGCTGCTCTCTAGCTCCTGGCTCCAAGTAAGCAATCTTCCCACCTCGGCCCTAGAGTAGCTTGGAATATACGTGGTGCCAGCCACCCCACCCCCGATTGTTTTTGTTTGAGATGGGGTCTTACTACGCAGCCCAAGCCAGCCTCCTGAGTGGCAGGATCACAGGCGAGCACCACCATGCCCAAAACAGCCAGGGCAGGGGAGAGAAAGCTGGCAAAGGACATGGAGACTATCTGGTGCAGGCAGTGAGTCAGGGGGAAGACAGGTGGCATGAACAAGAGCAGGAACCAGACAGAACTTCACTTAGAGGTTGATATGGCTAGGAGGTGGTGGTGCGCACCTTTAAGCCCAGGAAGGCAGGGCAAATGGATCTCTGAGTTCAAGGCCAGCCTGGTCTACAGAGTGGGTTCCAGGGTGGCCAGGACTACACAGAGAAGTCCTGTCTCAAAAAAAAAAAAAAAAAAAAAAAAAAGAATGAAGATACAAACAAAAACAAAAGGCTGATCTGATGGTACCTGAGGCAGTTAGATATGGAGGGATAAAGGCCTTGGAGATGGGTGTCTGAGCAGCTGGGATGCAGGTCTGGGGATGAACATGTTAAGAGATATAACACAAGAGTGATGTCATGCGTGAAGACAAGGTCAACCTGGGCTCAAAACCCCATCAAAATAATAAAAAAAAATTTAAATGGGGTGGGGGAGTTATTAAAAAGAGTTTGGGGGGGTCTGGAGAAATGGCTCAGAGGTTAAGAACACTGGCTGTTCTTCCAGAGGTCCTGAGTTCAATTCCCAGCAACCACATAATAGCTCATAACCATCTGTAATGAGGTCTGGTGTCCTCTTCTGGCATAGAGGTATACATGCAGGAAGAATATTGTATACATAATAAATCTTTAAAAAAAATTAAATTAAAAAAAGACAGTTTGGAGTTCGGGTACACAGAGCCTGCAGGAGGTGGCAGAGCAGGGAGGGAGGTCTGCTGGGAAGCGCACAGATATTCAGCAAGTCAGAGTCCCACATCCTTCGGGCCTGCAGCCAAGCTGCCCAGTCCCCCAGGGGATCCAAGAAACATGTGACACCAAAGCAGCCACTGGGCCTCCTGGGGAACGGACCCCTTCTGTCACAGCAGCTGCTGCTGCTGTTGCTGGTGACATTTCACTGGGTCCTGGCTTCAAAGTCTCTGCAGGGACTGGCAAGGTGGGGGGTTGAAGTATTGAAGCCAGTATTGAGAGAGCCAGAGTGGGGTAGCCGAGGCTGGAGCAGGCAGCCGAGCCTGTTCGGGAGTCTTCAGCTGAGGTAGCTGAACGTGGGGGACCCAGGAGGAGCTGCAGAAGCTTGGAAGCTCAGGCTTGCAGAGCACTGCTCACCTTCTCCCAGATGTCCAGCAAGGTGGCCACTGGCAGTGACATCGGACAGGCCCGCCGGGCAGTGGAGCAGCTGCGGATGGAGGCAGGCATCAACCGCATAAAGGTGAGGGTTGGGCAGGCGTGCAGTGGGCACAGCTGGGCAAGGGAGCAAGTGCACACCCAGATGTGCAGATGTGGCTGACGCGGTTGGTTTGCAGGTGTCTAAGGCAGCCACAGACCTGCTGCAGTTCTGCACGGAGCAGGCCAAGAGCGACCCCTTCCTTGTGGGCATCCCCGCTGCCACCAACCCCTTCAAGGAAAAGAAGCCCTGTGCTATCCTATGAACCCACGATAATGCTCCCCCTATGACCCTGGATACCACAGGAAAGCCTCAATAAACATGACTGCTCCTGTATTACAACTTGTGTGTGCTGCTGTGGGAGGCTGAGGGGTACCACAGCTTTTGGGGATCAGTGCACACCTCTCAGGCTTCCTTCTATGCCCATATCCACAGTCACAGCCATGCATACCTGCGTGCCTAGAGCCCTGCATGAAGAGACCTGCACTGTGGCCCTGTGCCACATACCTACAGGGTGACGGGGCAGGTATCTGTCTGCTTCCTCCACACAGACCTATCCTGGGAATTTGAGTCAGAGTCTACATGCCACACAGCCCACACTCACCTCACTAAGCTATGTCAGACCAAGTGTCCGTGGTGCTCAAGTGCATACACACAGAGCAGGAGGCACCCCAGCCCTCACATGCTACCCTTCCCCCTCAGTCACAGACGCGTGGTCACAGAAAGCTCACACTCCGGTTTCCAACAATTGCACAGTAGGTCGTTTATTCCTTCTTCCCTCTCCTGTGAGAAAGAGGCACCCAAATCCTAACAAGCCAGGGATCACCCAGGGTGGCGGTGCACTCATTATCCCAACACTTGGAGACTGAAGCAGGAGGACCAGGCATTCAAGGCTTGCCTCAAATACATAGTAAGTGTGAGGCCAGCCTGGATTCCATGGAGACCACCTCAACAAATAAAACAAAACAACCAGGGGTGGAAGGTAGGGAATAGCCCCCTGGGTGGCTAAAACTAGAATGTCACCTCCACAGGCATAGGCGTGGGCCCAGCCCTAGGGCTTCTTGTGCCCCAGGCCTGTGGAGCAGGGCAGAAGCAGCACCAATTGCAGGAAGGTTCTCCAGAGCTGAGGCCTAGGGCAGCCTCAGCAGGCAGTGTATACCAACATCCATCGCAGCCACGTCCAGCTGTTTAGGCCAGCAGCCTCCAGACCTCCAGTGACAGGCCACCAGAGGCAGCCACCACCACGTTGCCCTCAGCACAGATCTGGGGAGCAGTGGCAGTGGAATTAGGGGATAGCGTGGGCTCTTGGCAGGCCAACAGGCTATATGGGGCAGGACCTTACCCCATTCAACACATTGTGGTGGCTTCTGGTACAGATGGTCCTAGGTGGGTCTGTGGGCACGTGAACCTGGGAAGGGTAAGGGGCAGAGGTCAGGATATGTGCCCTGGCCAGCGCTGGGGGTCTGCATGGGTCAGTGTCCTCACCCGAATGGTCTTGTCAGTAGATGTTGTATACAAAGTCCCCAGCGAGTGCTTGATTCCAGTGATCTGAGACTGGTGACCCACATCAAAGGACTAGGGAAGAAAGGATGGGTGACACTCAGGCAGAGTTTCCCCGTGGTTAGCCCTCTACACCCAAGAAGTCACAGGGGAGGTACAGACAGGAGTCCTAGCTGACCCGGACAAGCTGGAAGCAACCATCTCGGTTGGCGAAGACGTGCAGCAGGCCCTGGTTGTCACCCGCCCAGAGCTGGGGCTCCTGGTAGGACATGCAGAGCAGATAGGAGTCCAGCTGTGGGAAGGACAAGGCAAAGAGCAGCTCAGGAATGACAAGCTGGGCTACAGTCCTCCTCAGAGTCACTGGGAAGGGCAACCCACCTGCAGCCGCTGCAGGACTCTGTTGGCTCGGCGATCAAATACCACAAGACTGTGGTCCTCACTGCCTGAGATGATATGCCTGTCATCTGCCAGCACCGCCAGCACAGCACTCGAATGCAGCCTCCGGCTCTTCACCAGAGCCAAGCCAGCTGGAGTGGGAATACGGCCGGGGAGGACGGAGGGTATCAGAGACCCAGGCCCACCTGGGGATCTGGGCTACCGTCTAACCTAGGAAAACTTCCGATGGCTGGGCTTCTCACCTGGTCACTCCTCTCCCCTCCTACCCCATCTGGATCCAGGACCCACAGGCTTTTGTCCTCTCCTGGTCCCTACCTCCACGCCACCTTCCCTTCCTACCCCACCAGTATCTCCCAACACATAGCCAAGCACTTCACTCCACCCAAACCTAAATCCATCTCAGGATCCCTTCAGTCTAATGCAGTAAGATGACTCAGTCATGGCTGGGGTGGGGCTAGAGCTCAGCGGCTAAGCAATACCCTAAGCACAGGCAATGGCTTCCATCCCAGGATGGGGGAAGGGGCCGATTAATCATCAGCCAGGCCTCGTGGTGCAATCCTGTAATTCCAGCTACTCAGGAGCCCACAGGCTGAGACAAAAAGCTGAATATAGGTGGAGGCCAGCCTAAAATACAGAGTGAGTTTGAGGGTAGCCTGGGCAACACAGTGAGAGTCTATCTCAAAATGAGCAAAGTGAAAGGGACAAAGCATCTGTCTAGCATGCGGGAGGCACCAGGTTCAGTCTCCGCAAGGGGAACAGCGTAGACAGAAGCACAGGAAAGACTCGCAGTGCAGACAGGCTTATGTCATCCACCAGTGTTCTCTGATCACGCGATTCACTGTTTGAATTTTTGAGACTCCTTTTCTATCTTACGTATATAGGTGTTTTGCCTACATGTATCTGTGCACGGCATGCATACATTGCCCATGGAGGCCAGAAGAAGGCAATGGATCCTCTTAAATTGGAATTACAGGTAGTTGCTAGCTACCATGTGGGTGCCTCCCAACCCAATCCAAGTCCTCTGGAAAAGCAGCCAGTGCTCTTAATTGCTGAGCCATCTCTCCAGCCCCTGTCCCCCAACCCAACCTCAGTGTTCTTTCCTATTGTTTTGTGCTTCTGTTATTTTGTTTCTGAGCCAGGTTCTCACTGTGTAGCCCTAGTTGGCCTGGAACTTACTGTGTGGACCACACTGGTCTTAAACTCACAAAGATCTGCTTCCCTTTGCATTATAAGCACAGGGATTGGAATCTCACCTCTGGGGTCATAGGTGGTCACCTTCTTGTCATAGGTACCAGTCACGAGGATGTCAGGTTGGTAGGAGAGGCACAGCACTGCCGCCTTGCCCCTGGGGACACACGGCACACAAGGCTGGGTGATGGCTTGGGCAGGGCCCTACCCACCCAGGCCCCCTGCCCAGGCCCCCTCACACTTGATCTCGCCAAACTGCTGCCCATCAGCCGCCATGTCCCACAGCTTCACAGTGCTGTCCCAAGAGCCGGAGCACACACGGTGGTCCTGTGCTGCTAGCGACCACACCCAGCCCTGTGGGAGCAGGCACAACAGTCACATAAGACAACTCACTTTCGGAGCTGTATAACAGCTCGTGTCTTCTCCCCAGAACCCAAGAGGAAGTCTGGACCCTCCTGCTTTTGCAGAGAAGGATCCAAGAGATGAACAGATTCACTCAAAGCCAAACAGCTTTTCCTCTCTCATGCCCACTTCCACAGACACTTCAGTAACACACATAACTCCCACTCCTCCCACAAATGACAAAACGGGGGTCAGAAGGAGGAGGGGCAACTGAAGAACACAGTAATTCCCAATGTGTGGGAGTAGGGTCTGCTCTGCTGCCTGTCAGAGCCTGGGGACAAGAACACATCCCAGCAGTATCCACAGAGACCACTCCCTCTCTTTGTGCTAGACTAGAACCCAGAGCCTCAACACAATCTAAGCATGGGCTCTATCACTGAGCGACACTCTCGCAGTTTCCAATAGCTCATTTTTGTTCTTCTGCTCTTTGAAACAGTCTGACACTACAGTTCAGGCTGGCCTGGAACTCATTATGTAGCACAGGCTAGCTTCAAAATCAGAACAATCCTCTGCCTTTAGCTCCCTGAGAGTGCTGCTAATACAGGCCTGAGCCATCAAGGTCTACATCAAGGCCTTCAGAAGCCCTCCCAGCTTCTTTCATGCCCCCCGAGACTGCTCACCTTGTGTGTGCTATTGCCCTGGGTGCCCAAGGCCTTCACCAGAACTCGACTAGGCTCCTTCCCTAGATGTCGTAGGTCCCACAGGTTGACGTTGCGATCTCGGGAGCCTGACAGACACAGTGCCCCACCCTGGAAGGAGAGCATGGAGCTGGTGTTGAGGTTCCCCAACCTTTCCCTTGCCGAGCCTCCCATCTAGCCCCCTCACCTGGAGCAGCAACACTGCATCAATGGAAGCAAAGTGCCCATCAGCTAGGCAGAAGTACTCGGCTCTCTGTCCATCCTCCGCCCAGCGGGCCAGGTGCTGTTCCAGCTCGATGCAGGCGGCTGGCCAGTCAAAGTCCTCCTCTGTGGAGTACCACAAGCAGGATAGTCAGTGGGCATCAGCTGAGAGAGTCCAGCCCTGGTTGCCTGGGAGCCCAACCTTCACCGGACCTGGATAAAACGTCACCCCCCACCCTAAGCAGGAACAGACTCTGGCCTTGCTTCAGGATTTCTGACCACCCATCTCCCATGCAGGACCAGGAATACTCCCAACTCTAAGAAACCAAAACTACACTTCCCAACCTTCATCTCACAACCCAAGTGACAACAGTCCCACCCTCAGCCTCTCTAGGGCCTCACGACTAACCAAGCATTCTGGCCTTAGCCCCGAACCCAGACCTAAGGACACAGTTCTTAAATTTCTTTTTTTTTTCAGTTATTTTAATAACTTGATGTCAATAATGTTTTTAATTTATTTATTTTTATTGAAAATTTCCACCTCCTTCCCTCCTCCCACTTCCCTCCCCTCCCCCCACTCCCACTCTCCCTCCCACTCCCCCTCCGGCTTTGTGGGAGCCAAGTCTGTTTGGATGCTCACCTTCCTGGACCTGGGGGTAACAGTGAGGACCTTGGACTTCCTATAGGGTAGGGAACCCTGACTGCTCCTTAAATTTCTAACTGTAAACCAGGAAGTCACAAGACACAGAAGCCAAGGAGAAGAAAGTGTGGCTTGGTAGTCAAGAACTTACCTAGGAAGCACAGAGCCTTGGCTTTATCCCTAGTCATTCCCCCTCCCTCCCAAGACAAAATCTAAACCCCAGGTCACCCATTCAATCATTTGGATGAGGTTCAAGCACATGTTTTTATCAAAAAAACATGTTTGGAAAACATGTTTATCAAAAAGCTGTTTGGAAATCTGACTGGGGGTTGGAGGTCAATTCCTAGGGGTTGGAGGTCAATTCCCTAACCCAGAAGTCTGCAGAATCAAACTCTTCCAGGTCAGGGGAATCAACTATTCAGCTTTCCATGTCTGTCTCAAGAGCCTAAGGCTCCAGGAACATCAGGATTTACAATATCTCAAAGTCGTGCTGAGGATGTAACCTGTGGTAAAATAATGCATTTGCCCAGCACACCCAAAGTTCTGGGTTCCATAGTACAACCTTAAAAAAGCAAAACAACAAAAACTCAAAACGATCAACTTCGAGTTTTCTTTTCCTCCACAGACCAATGAACCCAAGGGCAGAATGAATAACACCTGCTCTGCAAAAGTGACAGCTAGCTCGGGGCATCTAAGACCAAAAAGAGAGGATCGGGAGGACGAGGGAACCCTGGGCTACATAAAAACCTGACTCAAAATAAATAAAAAATAAATAAAACAGAAGAGATGACAGGCTAGACCCAGGTATCAACGATTGCTGGTATCAGTGATCCCAGCTCCTAAGTCCCAAGGCTAGTTCAGGTTAGAACCTCTGCTTCACCTATCCTGGATCAACACTCCAGGGGTCAGGGGCTTTGTTAAGGCAGTTGCCGATTGTTTCCGCTGTATCCAGAGCCTGAGGACTTTTTTGGACCTATTTTCACTCCAGGTACAATCTAAAAAGTCCTAGAGTTATCCACATCAGGGCTAGGGACCTTAGTGCTAACAAAGCCCAAACCGGGGAAATCTCTGAATTTTAAGTTTAGAGATCCCAGGTTCAGAGCTCTGCCTGAGGAAGTCAAGTATTTGCCTTGTGGTCGATTAAGGATTAGGCGACACCTAGAAATTTCCTCTGCCTCCAGTCAGAGCTGGGACAACCTGGAAGCCTGCTCCAGAAGCAGTATGCACCCGCAGACCAGGTACCTCTCTCTTTTGTTCAAGCCTGACCTGGGCATAAGTTCCTGTTCCCCCGGGTGTGCGTACCTTCCACCACTGGGTAGGGTGCGCGTACGCGGCGCTGAGCGCGTAGCCTCCAGGTGACATGATCACGCACAAGGTCGTTGAGTGCTTGGCACACGCACGGCAGGACGTGGAGCACGACCCGTGCATCAAGGTAGGCGCAGATCTCCAGCAGCAGCTCCGGGGGAAGGCTCAGTAGGCCCGGCAGGCGCACGGCCGGGACTCTGGGGGCAGCCTTTCGCTCCGGCGCGCCCAGGGACGCGGAGAGCGTGGACTTCAGCGACGAGCGCCGCAGGGTCAGGCCAGGTTTGGGTGGGGTGAGAACACGGGCTACATAGGCCTCAGCCTGAGCGTCAGGGTCCGGGTCTGGCTCGGGGTCCGACTCATCGTCACAGGAGCGAGAATCCCCACACCGCCCCGAGGGAAGCTCCATGGCGACCGGGTGGGTGCGGCTGTCCCAGGTTTAGCTATTGCTGGGCCGCGTCCTGTTTCCTAGGCAGCGCGAGATCACTTCCGGCGTTTTTAGATGACGTCAGAAACCACTGGCCGCGAGTTACTAGCGAACAAACCTGATGTCTGAACCACAAGCTGGTCGCTTTTTTTTTTTTTTAACCATTCGCGACTGACATTTCAAAGGAAGGTTTTTTTTTTTGGTTTTATTTTTAAGGATTCATTTTTACTTTTATGTGTTCGGGATCCCTTGAAGCTAGAGTTAAGGGCAGCAATCGCCTGGTGTGGGTGCTGGAAACACCCACTTTGTTTTAGACATGGTCTCACCACGTAACCCAAGATGGCCTCGAATTCGGTGATTCCGTCTGCCTCTGCTTCCCGAGTGCTGTGGCTAAAGGCGTGCGCCACACCTAGCCTAAGGTTCTCTTAACTACACTGGACCACCTACCACTCCAGCAGGAGATGCTTTGTATCCATCTGAGGTCGAGATGGGAGGAGGGGGGTGTCTTCTTCGATTCTGTTTTATTATCCTTAATTTTATTGTGTGATGTGTTGTTTCAATGTGCCACAGCATACATGGACTGGTCAGACAGCAACTCTGTGGAGTCAATTCCCCTTCACCTGTAGGTGGGTTCTGGGGGGAAATCAAACCAGGCAGCAAATGTCTTTATGTGCTGAGTCAATCCTCTCAGCCCCGTAAAGTATCTTGAAACAGGTCTTTCACTGCTCATCATTTCAGCTAAACTGGCTTAGCCAACCAGTGAACTTTAGGAATCCATCTGTTTCTGCTCCTCCATTCCTCCTGCCCCCAACATTTATGTGGGTGTTGGGAATCCTAACTTAGGTTCTCAACCATGCACAGCAAGCAGTTCATCAATTAAACTCCAAGAGATAAGAGTTTATTTTGGGTTGAATGATCATGGCCCAGGAACTCAGGTTGCTCCAAATAGCATTAGGTCAGACACAAGCGGAGCAATAAATGGTTAAGGTCTAATGGTAGCCAGAACAAGTTTACATCTACAGTACATAGCTCCCCACAAACACAATTCCAAATTGGCCACGTAGAACCTAACACATAAGTTTTTTTTTTCTTTAAATTTTAAGGACTTCACTTATGGGGAGCCCCATCTGGTCTCAAACTCACATTATATAGACCAGGCTAGCCTCCAACTCAAGAGATCTGTCTGCTTCTGACTTCCAAATGCTGGCATTTAAGATGTGAGCCAACAAACATATCTACATAAAAGGTTTTTCTTCTGAGAACGTCACACTGGTTTCGATTTAGTTCTTCTGCTTCAGTCTTCCAAGGAGCTGAATAACAAGTGTACACTGTCACGTTCAGAAACTCACCCTATAGACCAGGTTGGCCTTCAACTCAGAGATCCTTCTGCCTCTGCATACCAAGTGCTGGCATTAAAAGCATGCTCCACAACCCCCAGACAGCTATTTTTATTTAATATTTCCAAGAATTTCTAGCCTGCCCAGTGACCCAAAGTTGTGTCTGTTATAAGGCCTTACAATTATGTTCAACAAACCAATGAAAGGCTGCCATACATTAATCTTGGAAAACAGCTTGCACAATTTCTGTGCACACCTCTTTCACACTCACCTTCCCACATAACAAAGATGAAAATAGGTTTCCTTGGACCCTCAATTTTACTTTTCAAGTCCTGGGAATTAAAAGTAAGACCTTATGTATCAATCTAAGCTAGCTACTAGCCCTCTCAATTTGATTTCATGAATGGAATTATAGCTCCCTTTTTTGAATCAAGGTCTCAATCAACCCAGACTGATTTCAAATTTGCTATCCTCCTGCCTCAATCAGGCAGCTCACCAGGAGCAGCTGTGCATCTCAGCTCACCCTGAGTCCCGGAGAGAACACCAGGTGTCCTGCTCCTGCTCTATCTTCTCTGCCTCGTTCTTCGGAGCCGGCGGATTCTGTCAGCACTCCCATAGCACTGGAGCCACAGAAAAGCCCACCTCCACGCCACTCCACCACCCAAGTCAAGGACCAGGAAACCAAACACCAAGACTTTCACAAGAAACTGACCTTTACTCAACAAAGTTCTACACAAGTGGAAGCTCACGCCACCTAGGCGCCAGTCCCCAGCACAGCAGTTACAGATGGATAGACCTGGGAGCCCACAGGGGAATGGTAATCAGACTCAGGAAAATGGGGGGCGGGGGAAGGAGCTGCAGATCAAGATCAGTCTGTGTCCACAGCCCTGGGCAAGGAAGGTTAAGAAACTGAAACTTCATTGTGTAAAAACCAACTAAAAAATAAATTAAAAAATTAAATAATTTTTAAAAAAAAATAATAAAATTTAAAAAAAAAAGGAAAACACAAGAATTGGGCTCCCCTCTCCTGAAGACAGTTGGAACTCCCACCTTGGGCAGAGGAGGTCACAACTCCATCAGATAGTCAATCCATCAATACACCCCAAGACCCAGCAGAGGATGCTCCAAAGAAGTGGAATTACCAGAAAGCTAATGGTATTTTTCTTTAAAAAAAATTTTTTTCCCTACAAATGGCTTCCAGAGACCTGCTCAAGTTTGAGGCTGGAGGGGATGGGGACCACTAGCTGAGTTATGGAATGTGCACTAAGTGTCCCTGGGAATAGAGGCAGGGCCTGACCCTGCTTAAGAGAAGACACATGGCCTGGATGGGATAACAGGTCCTTTGAGGGATGATGGAGCAGGCCCTAAGATGCAGAACTCTGGTCAAAGCCCAAAATATAATAGGCTCCCAAAGTAGTAGGAAGCAAGGAAGGGAATGGAGGAAAAACATTCAGGGATCTGCAAGGCTGATTTCCACAGCCAATTTGGAAATATTCATGCCCCCCTCCTCTCAGGAAGCCCCCCTCCCACCTTGATGGCATTCCCCCACCAATTTCTTCAAGGATTTTTGGAGTCAGTATACCAATCTGGTGGGGGGGATTCTGAGTCCAGTGGACACTGTGATGAGCATTAAGTCCCAAAAGGGACAAAGTTGGAGGCCCTGGGTATACCCTGCTCCCCCAAGCCTTCAGATCTTGCTGGACCCAGAAACCTTTGTCCTTTGTCCTCACCAATCACACGCTGTTGCCCCAGCTCTTGAGAAGGGAGTTCTCAGGAGCGGAGAACTGGACTATCCTTGAAGCTGTTTCAAGAGAGGCCCAGATAATCATGCTGGCAGCTCTGGCTGCCCTTAAGCTCTCTTAAGGAAAACTAGTCCAGGCCCGTGCTTTCAATGCCTTTGGAGCACAGGAAAAGTGTAGAGGGTAGCCTCAAGCCAGTCCCAGCTGCTCCAATGGTCCCCACTCTGCCGCTGGCTGGGATGTCACAAAGATGGGGACACGCTTAACAGGGGCTGCCGTGAAGCTGGCAGGAAGTGTGTGGAGCAGGTTCAAAGTGTGCAAGTGCTGAGAGGTCAGTCCCAAAGTGACCGCCCTCCTCCCTTGGCCCTGGGGGCCCAGCTGAGGTCCCCCCAAACCTCCCAGCCCTCCCAATCACTGCCAATTCCGGCAAAACAGCAGAAGCTTCTTATACTCTAGATGCAAGGTACACAGAAGGCCATAGGCATAATTTGGGGGTTCACTAATTCTACTGTCTCCATGCAGTCGAGGAAATGGTGGGGCGGCTGGCCCAGCCTAGCTGGCTGTGGTGCCCGCACATGCGTGTGTCCACATGTGTACATGTGAGTGTATGCTTCTCTACAAGGAACCCCCCTCCCCACCTGTAATTCCCTTGCCTTATCTGACACCGGATTCGGTAGGCCTTAGGATTCCTCCCTCCCACATGGCTGACCCAAATGGGCTGCCTGAGATGACCCAGATTAGAGCCCAGAGAACTCTTGCCCACCAAGAAGTCCCACCCCCCTCCCTATCTGTAGGATGAGCATGGAGTCCCCACCCACCTGCCCACTCGTCAGGCCTGGTGGGGCAAGTGGACCGACAGATGGACAGATGCACAGCTAGGCAGCATCTGGATTTAGGTCCCACTCACTCCTCCCTAACCCCCCTGGACCAGGGCACAGTGACTTCTGGAAGCAGCACATTCCCCAGCACACCCTCCGACGATGACGCAGACAGAACCCTGCAGGGGAGAGGGAGGGTCAGGGCCTTCATCCTTTTCACGTTGTGATAAGCCTGAGTACTGAAAGACCAGCTCACCTGGTGGTCTCCACGTTCACCTAGACCCCATAGAAGGCTGCTAGCCTCTCCTTGAGCAGTGGTGGAAACTGCTCTGAGAACTGTTGCCAGTTTTCCTCCCCGACTTGGTCTTTGAAGCCATGGAGGATCTGCAGAGAGGCAGGGTTGACTATGGGCTGGAACAAGCCGATGGTGTCTACTCCCCAGGACTCCCATGGACCAACAGGAGCCTTACCTTATAAAACATGTCCCGAAGGTCATCCTTCGGGCTCACCCAGGAGGCTACAGCATCGCAGAAGAAAATAAAGTCCTGAAATATGACGGATCCCATGTGAGGGGCTGCCCAAGCCAGCCCCCGCCCTGCCCTCTGTGCCCCGCTGCGCGGACCTGCACAACACCCCCAGGATTGACACCAATCATCATGCAGATGCCTCGGAAGGCAGAATCCTTCTCCTCGTTGTCCCGGATGTTCCTAAGGGACGTGCACCTGGCCATGGAGGAGGGCAGCAGGTCAGTGGATGGACTTGGGGCTAGACAAGCATAGATGAAGGATGGCTGGAGGGGACAGGGAGGGGGGTATCCGTAGGTAGAGGTCTCCCACATGCATCCATGGGGGTGGCGCTGGGGAGCACAGCTGTTCTGCCCACCCCCAGCAGGCCCCACCCAGGCAGGCACACACCAAGGCCGGATGAACTGCTGCAGCATGGGTGCCACCTCCTGTGGGCACACGTAGCCCAGGCGGCCGATGGTGATGGCTGGAATGGCAGAGGGACTCGTCAGGCGACCTGCAACCCCGAGTGGCCCCGGGACGGTACGTGGCGGGGCCTCTGACAGGAGGCACCGAGCCCCGCCCCACAGGCCCCAACTGAACGACCCTGTGGTTATCCTGGGCCTTTGAGTTTGGCCCATTCGGATGTCCTCCCCACCCAGCCTAGGTCTCTTTCCATATAATCTAAAGCCAGTATTCTTTCTTGGGTTCCTCCCAGAATCCCATTCCAGGTGCTGACACCCTTCCTGGAACTCTTCCCCTCTCAGCCCAAGCCTGGTACTCACCTGTGTTTTCCAGTAGTGTCTTGGGTGTGTTGGGCCTGTTAATGATCTCCACCAGATTGTTGAGGACCATCTGCACATAGGGCTGCATCTCTGCCCCTAGGGACCAGCCATTTAGAGCCCTGCATGGCCCACTCCACCCACAGAAGGTCAGCTGGGTACTGCTGACCTCAGTCCATGTCCCTAGTTCCATGCAGACTGGTGTACCACAAAGCCCGAGAGCACAAAGAACCTCCTCGGGATGTTCCCAGTCGAGTCCACAGCCACAACAGACCCACCCAAAGGACTCTCAAGTCACTACCCACAGGTGAGGAGGCCCAAGTCACCTAACTGATCCCACTGGGTTTTTCAGGAAGACAATTACATGAGAAGGTCCAGCAGGAACAGACCATATACCCCACCTCATAAATGGTGTTTTAGTTCTTTGATTTCACCTGTCAGGGAAATCAAAACATGTTCTTGTCCCTGGCCAATCAGAGGCATTCCTTTAGGGAGCCTGTCGGAATCAAGGTCTGGCCCCCAAGATAGAAACAGAGCCATGAAGAGGCAGTGTGCTACTTTCAGGACACTCACCCATCTGCATGCAGATCTCCCCAATGGCCCAGGTGGCATTGTTGCAGACAGAGATGAACTCAGGGTTCAGGTTGGTGCCCAGGATAGGCATGAATTCAGCTAATGGAAGAGAAGAGCAGGAAAATAAGACTGAGCAGAAAGGCCAATGAGGCCACATTCCCAGAACTGGCTGAGCAGCCCATCAGACAGTATGAATACATCCCAGTTCAGTCATTGGCCTCCCAGGGCATACCTCCATCACTGGAGGACAAGACTGGGGCCATAGGATAGGGAAATGGGGTAGCCTACCGATACAGGGCTTGACGTGGATAAAGCAGGCTTTGGTAAGGTCTCCCAGAAGGGCGAAGGAGCTCTGCCGGACCTCAGGCATGGAATCCTGGAGTTGGGAGAGGTGGCAAAATGACAGGGCTCCCACTCCTTCCATCCAAGCCAGCTGAGGCGGCACAGTCCCTAGAGCACATCCTGACCATAAACACTGGCAGAGGTGCAGGTCTGTCCCCTACCCTGTTAGCCGTCTCCTACTATACTATAGCCTGTTGCCAGGACCTGGCAGTGAAGTTCATTGGTGAGCATTTACTTAAAATGCTCCAAAACCCTGTTCCATCCCCAGCCCTCAAACCACAAATTAACAGATATATTAAATAGACCCCTAAATTTTCTTTCTTGAGACAGGGTCTGTTGCACAAACAAGGCTGACTATTTTATGTGGCACCAGTGTCCATGTGCATGAGATCATCTTCCTCCGTTGCTACCCAACCTTATTTTCGAAACATAATTTCTTTCCAAACCTAAGTTCACTAAAACTCAAGTAGACAAGCTGGCCAGAGAACTTCAGGGATCCTCCTGTCTCCATTTTCCCAGTTGGGATTACAGGCCCCCTGTGCAGCCACACCTACTATTTTATCTTTGTGTGTATATTCAGGGAAGAGAGCTGTACAGGTGTCCTTGGAGGCTAGCGTGGGACTCAGATCCCTGAAGAGCTGGAGTTGCAGGCACTTGTCATTGTCAGCTACCTGATTTGGGTACCAAACTTAGGTTCTCTGAAAGAGCAGCAAGTACCCTTAACCTAAGCCACCACTTCAGCCCCTGCCCCCATGGGTGATGGAAATCAAAACACAGGTTTCTATTCTTGTCCAACAAGCACTTTACTGACCAAGCCATCTCTCTAGCCCGTACATACATACATACATATATATTTTGGAGACATGGTCTCACTACATAGCTCTAGTTGGGATTAAAGGAGTGCACCACCACTGCCCAATAGTCAAACTTTATTTTTGAGATCAACCTGCACTACATTTCCTGACAAGAATTTTATTCTAGCTCTGTGTAAACAGGGTATGAGTGAACACCTGTAGATGGGAGAATAGGCAAAAACCAGGTGTCATTCCTGAGGAACCTCCCACCATTTATTGTTTTTATTTACGTTAGTGTTGGAGGTTGCCAGAGCCTTACACATGGTAGGCAAGAGCTCTACCACTGACCATCCCAAGCCTTCCACTTTTGTTTTTTTGAGACAGTTTGTGGAGCTCATCATATTTATACACCCTTAAAATTTGTATTTGTTTAATTTTTGTGCGTATGCATGAGTAGGTACAAGTGCCATGACAGACATGTGGAGGTCAGAGGTCAACTTGCAGGAGTTGGTTCACACTTTAATTCACGTGGGTCCTGGAGTTCCCTGGCCAGGTTGTCATAGATGTGGTGGTAGACATCCCTACCTGCTGAGCCATTTTAACAGCACAGATCTGATTATTTTATTTTGGAGACAAGGTTTCACTATGTAGCCCTGACTGACCTACAATTCAGAGACCCACAAGTCTCTGATTCCTGAGCACTCGATTTCAAGTCATGTAATACCATGCCTAGTCTTTAAAAGGAAAAAATATTGGCTTTCATCTTAAGTGTATGATTAGAGTTTTGCCTGTATGCATGTCTGTGCACCATGTGTGCGCCTAGGGTCCACAAAGACTAGAAGAGGGCTATCGATGCCTTAGATCAGGAATAACAGATGGTTGTGAGCCACCATGTGGGTGCTAGGAACCAAACCCAGGTCCTCTGCAAGAGAAACAAGTGCTTTCAACTGTGGAGTCATTTCTCTAGCCCATGAAATTTTATTTAAGGGCTCCTTTTCTTTGATGTTCCCTGGGCACAATCAGGACCCTGACCCCGCCCCCTAAGGGTCAACTATGGCAGCTGCTATGTAACTATTATGGCCTATAAAAAGTTCCCTTGGCCTTTTAGGTGTGGCCTATGTAGGGTACCCACTCACCTGCATGCATTGGAAGAGCAATGTCATGATGTTACTTCGGGCTACCAGCTGTTCCACATGGCCACCCAGGCCCTCAGCCAAACCACTAAGCAGGTCCAATGCAACGATCATGAAGTCCTTGTCAGGGGCCTCGTACTGTTCAGGGTGTTGTGTGTACATCTGGATACAAAGGGGGTACGTGAGGGAGATAGGCTAGGGCCTGGGCAGTAGAGCAGGGGGCCCAGGATGCTCAGGGTGCTCACCATGGCCTGGGCCAGTGTCTTCTGCACCAGAGTAACACAGCGCTGGTAGACAGGCTCACAGTAGGGCAGGAAGCCACTCTGCAGGGCAGTAGCCACAGACGACAGACACTGGCAGGGAAAAGGGCAAGGGTGAGCTCTGGCCAGATGGAAGGGCTCTGCAGAAGGACCTAAGCCCACTCACCTCCAGCAGGGGGAAAAGGTCCTTGTCTTCATCCTTGAGCTCATTCCACTTCTGGATCAGTGGAGGCATCAGCTTCTGAATATACTCCTGGAGAAGGAATAGCAAGTTGGGTTTCCTGGATAGGTGTGGCAGTCTTAACTCAGTCAACGCTGTCCCTTAAAGGATGACATCCAGGCTCCTGGCCATAGTTCAAAATCTGTAAGCCCTTCTGATGTTTCTCATCTGTCCCTTCCTCCCACTCACAGAAACCTGGGTGGGGCCTCCTGCTTCCCACAGCCCATGCACTCCCAGATCACAGCACTGGCCACACTGCCTCATTACTGTCCATCTCTCGCACTAGACTAGAGGCAGGGGAAGTCTGCCTGTCAAGGCCGTGGTCATGTCCCTGATATGTGACATATCATATCACAGGGTAAAAACACAAGACACCGATGCCCAGGGCCACAAGGATAGGACACAGAGGGTCTCTAGGGACTCACCGGCTGATTAAGGTGGTGGCCCACAGAGTCGGCCAGGGTGCCAATGGCATCATAGAGGATGAGCAGATTCTTATGCTGGTATTTGCCAAAGGCAAAAACAAGAGTGTCAAGGATATAGCTGAGGTAGGGGACCAGCTCCGTGCATGCCTCCTCCTCCAAGGTAGCAAAGGCACTGGTGAATGCAAGAGGAAGGAAAAAGCTTAATGGACTTAGCAGACAGAACTGCACCACAGGCAGCCGGGGAGGATGTACATGGGATCAGCCAGTACGAATACGACAGAGATCAGAGTCTTGTCAGCAGTCACAGGCATCATCATTTCCCAGGGTGAGGAGCCACTGGAGGGACAGGAGTCAGGGGTCAAGGATCAAAGCTTACCTGCAGGCTGCCTCCTGCACCCTCTTGTTGCCATCCAGGATACGCTTGAGCAGCTCTGTCATCAGAGGCTTGAGGTGCATGTCCGGTGGCTGGCTGACTACCCAGTGGGCATAGCGGCTCAGTGTCCAGCAGGCAATGGAGCGTACCAGGGCCTTCTTGTCTGACAGGCACTGGATGAGGTGTGGGATCAGCTCAGGTAGATAGGGCACCATTCCCTGCATACAGCCTGCAGTAAGAGAAGGCTGGGGCTCAGGCATATCCAACCAAACAGAATCGGTGGGAAAGCTGAGGCTTGGTGGCGTTTCAGAGCCCATGAGAGACAGGAGCAAGAGGAGACAGAGCAGATATACTGGAGCTGAAGGTGGTTCAAATTCTGACTGGGCAGTAGCTCAAACCAACAATGCCAGTACTTAGAACAAGGCAGGAGGCACGCCACAGGTTCAAGACTAGTACATCATGGAGAAAGGACCCCCAACCCCAGTCTTCAAAAAAAACACAAGACTAATCAAAATGTGCAGGATTCTTTAGTGAGTTAGACTTCATGGGACAGCAAAGACCCAAATGGACAGGAAGTGATTCCCAACTTGGAACCTTCTTCCTCTGTGTTTCTCTTCTTTTTCTTTCGATTTACTTTTGTGTGAGGAATGTGTTGGTGTGAGGCACCCACAAGGTCAGAAGAGGTGTTGGTGTGAGGCACCCACAAGGTCAGAAGAGTGTGCCAGTGGCCCAAGGCCCGGAGATACAAGCAGTTGTGAGAGGCCAGGTGGGAGCTAGGAATGACTCTCAGGTCCTCAGGAAGGTCATGAGCACTCTAACCACTGAGCCATCCATCTCCCCAGCCCTCATTCTTTTTTTTCCCCCATGAGAGGCTCCAAAACTACTCAGAGAAACCCTGGCCTGCTGGGCGGTGGTGGCGCATGCCTTTAATCCCAGCACTTGGGAGGCAGAAGCAGGCCAGCCTGGTCTAAAAGAGCTAGTTCCAGGACAGGCTCCAAAGCTACAGAGAAACCCTGTTCTGAAAACAAACAAACAAAAAACAACAACAAAACCCACAAAAACAAAACAAAGAAACACACACAAAAAAACTTGGGCCTCAAGCACTCCTTCCCTTCCCCCACTTTTTTGTCCTGACTTTACTGGAACTTGATGTTTAGACCAGCTGGCCTTGAACTCAAGCGATCTACCTGCCTGAGTTGAGCGCGAGTTGGTATCAACTTCTCTAGATCGCCCTCACTGGTCTACAGAACACAATACACCTAACAAGGTTTTCTCAATAGTCACAGGTGACACTCCCTGTACTCTGAAAGCTGAGGCAGGACTTGCCAGGTGTGGTGACACATACCTGCAATCCCAACACTAGGAAGCCTGAAGCAGGAGAATCATAGCAGAACAAGATTCTGTCTCAAAGAACAAAACATAAGCCAGGTGGTGGTGGCCCACGCTTTTAACCCCAGCACTCAGGGAAGCAGAGGCAGGCGGATCTCTGTGAGTTTGAGACCAGCCTGGTCTACAGAGTCTACAGAGTGAGTTCCAGGACAGCCAGAGATACACAGAGAAACTGTCTCAAAAACCAAAAGACAAACAAACAAAATAACCATGCACACATGTTGCATGGTATCTGAGATGTCATAGTCACCTAGTAAGCAGAAGTCAGGAAACCATTTTTAGATAGACCCTTGAGTCTTTCCAAATCCAGACCAGTGTTGTACTAATAGACTGCATCCCAGGCCTCACTCATAGGCATTAAAGGCTCTCCAGACTGAAAGCTCTTACTGCCTAATGGCTGGAATTTGGGTGACAATTCTGGGTGGTGAGATGGTCACACATGAGCCAAAAAATGGTCACATTCCACACCTGCTTGTGGAAGGAAATGCTTGCAGGCATACTATGTGTTGTTCAGATGTCTCCCTAGCCTGCCTGCCTTCCTGTGTAGACTACACTGGCGGTCATGCTCCTCCAGTCTGTGACCACAGGTCACAACTGTGCTCGTTTATACTGGGTTATATTTAAGGGGTCCCCCAAAACGAGGCACTTCTAATTCTAGGGGGCAGCCTAGCACACAGCAAGAGTCAGGTTTGAGTCCAGACCTAAACTGAACACAAGGAAAGTGGCATCAGCTTGTGTAGCTCAATTTGCTAGTGTAGGAAGCCTAGGCCTGGCCCTGGCTATATGGATGAAGTTCCCCTGCAGACTCTGATGCAAAGGGTACCCCAGTGGTATGGGTATGGAGGAAGGACCAGTGGGCACTACAGCTGCTGCCCAATGCTTGGAGCATTGCAATCACTTGCTTGTGAGAACCAGGAAGAGGGCTGCTGTGTTGAGAATTTGCTGGGGGGGGGGGGGGGGGGGGGGGGGGGGGGGGGGGGGGGGGGGGGGTGGTGGGGGATGAGGGTGTGTCTTTCAGGTCAAGCAAGGAGGAGACAAATAACAAAGCTCTTTGGAAAGAATGAGGAAGCAGGCTGATCTCTGAGCTGGTGGCCAGATTGGTCCACACACAGAGAAACCTTGTCCTGAAAACCAATAATTCTGGAAGGATAACGAGGCCCAGCCTGTGTTGTGGAGTTGCATTCTTCAGGTCAGCCCAGGTAGATGCCGATCACATGTTGGGGACTCACCCTCAGCAATGGCACCCAGCACCAGGATCCCTGACTCCTTGACTACCCACTCAGGGTGGAACAGGAGGCCCTTGAGCAGGGGAAGTAGGTGGGGCAGCAGTTCCTCCCGGAAGACATTAGCAAGGACGTCCAGAGCAGCTGCGGAGCATTTCCCTGAAGGGGGACAAGGGACTCAGGGTGAGAGGCCTGTGGAGTAGGTATTCATTCCTTTTATCTCAGCCCTGGGACCAAATGTCACCACCAGTTCTTCACAAACTGCTCTGCACCAGCGTCTCACCCTCTCCCTGCAGAGCTGGCCTACTACCTACTCAGATTCCAGTCCGACAAAGCATCGTCATCATCATCATCCTCCGCATCCTCAGAGCCATCAGGCCGCTCAGCCTCGTGGGGCAGTGTCACTGTGCGTGACTTGTGGAAACGGGGCTTGATATCCTGCTCGCTGTCAGGTACTGCCTCGTCCTCCTCCACGTCCCCCTAGGGACCAGCCCAGGAAGATTTCTCAGCACTGGCTGGAGACTCCAACCCAACACCCATGCTCTTGGCCACCCACAGCCAACTGTGGCCACTCCCAGCTGACCTTAAGTAAGATGATGTCAATTTCAGAGTACTTCATCCCATTCACGAGGATAGGAATCAACCTGCAGGGAGAGAGACTGTTGGTAAGAATGCCGAGGGCCAGGCAGTGGTAGCACAGGCTTTTAATTCTAGCACTTGGGAGGCAGAGGCAGGTGGATCTCTGAGTTCGAGGCCAGCCTGGTCTACAAGAGTTAGTTCCAGGACAGGCTCCAAAGCCACAGAGAAACCCTGTCTTGAAAAACTAAAAAGAATGCAGGAGGCTGGAGAGATGGCTCAGTGGTTAAGAGCATTGACTGCTCTTCCAGAAGACCTGGGTTCAATTCCCAGCAACCACATGGCAGCTCAAAACTGTAACTCTAGTTCCAGGTGATCTGATACCTTCACACCAACGAATTTTATAATTTTCTTAAAAATGCTGCAAGATCCCCGCGGCAGTAGGCAGCAGAAATGCTGTAGGTCCCAAATGGTGGTAGCGGGCCATGTGGCGGCAGACAGCGGGCCCTGGAGCAACCAGTCCCAGGCAGAGACGGCTGCCAGTCCCAGAGCGGTGGCGGTGGGCCATGTGGCGGCAGGCACCAGGCTCTGGGAGCAGCCAGTCCCAGACAGAGATGGCTGCTGGTCCCCGAGTAGTGGCCCAAGTGGTGGCGGGCCATGTGGTGGCAGGCAGCGGGCCATGTGGTGGCAGGCAGCGGGCCCTGAGAGCAGCCAGTCCCAGGCAGAGATGGCTGCTGGTCCCTGAGCAATGGCTGGTCCCAGGCAGGGAGACACATGGCAGGCGGGCAGGACACAGAGACACGGATAGACAGGACAAGCAGAGTGAGGCTGAATATTTAGTCAGGGGGTTATGGAGGGGGAAGGATGAAGGAGGGGAGAGAGAGAGAGAGAGAGAGAGAGAGAGAGAGAGAGAGAGAGAGAGAGAGAGAGAGAGACAGACAGAGAGAGAGAGAGAGAAGGGGGGGGAGGCAGAAGCGAAGCTGCCTCTCCGCGAGGAAGGTGGAAAAGAGACCGAGCTCAGGCCGGAAGCTGAAGATCAGCCTGCTTGGCGGATGGAGGAGGGAGTGGGCGTGGCTTGTTTCTTAAAGGGACCAGGGACCAAAACCATAACATTGAACATAAGATAAAGTTAAATAAATTATTAAAAAAAAAAAAAGAATGCAGGGACTCTGGCTGAGTTGCCATCCTGCAGAGGAAGCAGGAATAGTGGAGGGCTGAGTGAGGGACAGACTGTTCAGCACTCCCAAGTCCCTGTGTCCAGTCTGTCCACTCCCCTTCAGGGAACTAACAACATTTTCAGTCACCATCATGAAGAGCCATAATTTCCCCCTCTCTTTTGAAACAGGATCTAAGTAGCCACTGGGACTAGAGAGAGCTCAGTTGCTAAGACCATCAGCTGTTCTAACTCTAGCCCCAGGGAATCAAACATTCTGGCCTCTATGAGCACCACACACAGAGATGCACAGACGAACATGCAGGCAGAACACCAATACGCATTTTTAAGAAAAGGACATCATGAGCTTTTTACCTCAGCCTCCAAACACTGAGATTACAAGTGTTTACTGCCACACGCAGCTGCTCCATCTTAGTGGCAAGTACCACCAAACAGCCCTTGACCCAAACACAATGAATGCCAGAATCCTGAAAATCTTGAAAATGCTGTACCCCAGCAATACACAAAGCACAAACATCTGACCCAGTATCTGGGCACTGCAGAGACGAAGCTGCTGGGCCCATGGCAGGAACAAGCAAAGAAAATAGTTACACACTCTGGAGCACAATAACCTTAGGTATAAAAACAGACTCAGCTGTCCTGCCCCTCTCTGCTGAAAGTCCTCTTGTCCCTCCAGCCACAACACCTACTTGTTATCAATAATTTCAAAGGCAAGTGATCCAGATTGACCAAAGCAAAGGAAGGGGCTCCAAACAGCCATGGTTCACATGGTTCTACCACTAGGACTTCAGAGTCTGAGGGAGTTAGATCTCAAGCTGTCTCAAAACCCCAAAAAGGTTATTAAGCTCCTGTTACTTAAATATCACTCAAGTCTCTGAACTCCTAAACTGAAGAACGCCAGAGCTTGCCAAGCCGAGTGCCACACACCTTTGATCCCAGCACAGAGAGTGGCAGGCAGATCTCTAAGTTTGAGGCCAGCCTGGTCTACAGAGCGAGTTCCAGGACAACCATACACGGACAATTCTGTCTCCAAAACCAACAACACACAAAAGTAACACCAGCACCACAGCATTACCTATGCAGGAAGGTCATGCCAGAAAGGGAAGCCAGGACAGCAGAAGTGGACGGCATTCTTGTTCTGAGCACCTGGGTCTGGCCAGGTTGAGGCCTTGATTTGCTGGAGAATTGTTTTCTCATCTTTTTGCCTACTAGCTTTTTTTTTGTTTGTTTGTTTTGTTTTGTTTGAGGGACGGTCTCGTTATATAACCCAGAACTGGCCTAAAACTTATTATGTAGCCCTATCCAGCCTCAAAAATTTGTGCTAATATCCTACCTTAGCCTCCCAAGTGATGGGTATGAGCCACCCTATTTGGTTTCTGTTACTTAATTTTTTTAAGCCATTTAAGTTACAGTCTCAAAAAAAAAAATCAATATACACAAGATTCAAAGTAAACTGACAGTCAGGCAGTAATGGCGCATGCCTTTAATCCCAGCACTCAGGAGGCAGAGGCAGGCAGATCTCGGTGAGTTTGAGGCCAGCCTGGTCTACAAGAGCTAGTTCTAGGACAGGCTCCAAAGCTACAGAGAAACCCTGTCTCGAAAAATCAAAAATCAAAAACAAACAAAGTAAACTGACACGGACTGTGTGAGCTGTGGTAAGCAGAAGCATTTAGGGAAGGTACAGGTGCAGGGAGGGCTGCAGGTGCTGGCATGGGGCTAGCGCACTCACTGGACCAGATGGGAGGCCAGGACTTCCTTGCAGATGGGCTGCTCGGCCAGCGTCAGCCAGAACTCACAGGCCTCCAGGGCCACGTTCTCATCATGGTCTTGGGTCCTCTGCAGCATGTACTGGGGCAATAGGGAGAGGCTGAGACCCAGCCCGACTGCGGGGGCGTCCCCAACCCCTCCAGCCGCCCACCAGCCCGGCGGTGGCCATGCTTACCTGAATGATGCTGTGCATGTGAGGGATGAGCCTGTCGATCCGCACTTCCAGAAGCATCACTAGGGCGCGGCACACGTTCTTCCTCACCTCAGGGTCGTCATCCACAGCCAAGGCAAACAGGTGCTGTGAGAAAGAACAAGGTCAGCTGCCCGAGGGCCCTCAGCCTCTCCCTATCCACCCGAGTCTAGTGACCCACCTCGATGAAGGTGTCGATGTTGTCCATTAATGCCTGGGCCCGATCCATGATGAACTGGTTCACACAGGCGATGGCATGGGACCTGGTAGTCAGTAAAAGCACAGATCACTTCTGAACCGCACCTGCCTGCCAACTCTAAGACCCCTCTTCCCTGGGGAACTTCACTTACCGGATTTTGGGGCTGCAGTGCTTGAAAAACTGCAGGAACTTAGGGATCATGATGTTCAGGGGCCTGTTGAGAGCATCACTATCCAGAAGCTCAGAGGAGTCTTCACAGATCTTCTGCAAGGCTCCAAAGGCCCCCTAGGCAGAGAGGCAGAGATGGTGGGGGTCCTACTCCAAGCTCCAGCCCCTGCTTGGGCCAGGCCATAGCCTCCTTGTAGCCTACCTCACAGGTATTATAATCCTCTGAGTTGAGCAGGTTACACAGCTGGGGCAGCAGCTCGGGCCACATCTGCAGCTCACCCTTGGAAGCGATGGTGGTGATGAGAATGCCTGGGGCAGCCAGGGAAAGGAGGCTGCTCAGGCTGGGCAAGGTGCCACCAACTTCCCCACCAAGGAACAGGCTCCCTTCCTTCCCATGCAAGTCCTGCATGGCAGCCTGATTTAGGGTACCTCACGAACGCCAAGTAAGCACTCTATTGCAGAGTGGCAGCCCTTCAGGCAGTGCTTGATGATTCAGCACACATCCTCTGAGCCAGCCCTGTTCTAGGTTGTAGGATCTGCCCAAAACTACCACTCTCAGAAATGGAGGGAACGTGTGGGGTGAAGATACATAAGCCAAAGATCTGGGTGGACACAAGCCAAGGGCTGACAAGAGAGCAAACTGTTTTTCAATTATTTTTATTTCATAGTTCTGAGGACTGAACCCAGGGCCCTGTGCACATTGGGCAAGCATTTTGTTGTTGAGTTAAATACCCAACCCTACTTTTAAAATTTTTTATTTTAACTTTTTGAGTTAAGGTTACCAGTTGCCAAGACAAGACCTGAAATCGCAAACCCCCTTGCCTCCACTGGAGCAGCTGGTTACAGGCCTGTGTCTACAGGTGCGGCTAGAGAGGAGCAACTGTAAAATGGTGGTCAGGTGTCATCTTGACATGTACACAAAGACCTGAAGGAAGTTAAAACCGATGAACAGGAGGCAGCCTCCAGTCACCTGAGGCAAAGGTGTCTCGGCTAGAGTATGGCGGGCCTGGTGCAGTAACAGAAGAAAGACCAAGGTGAAGAGAGAGAGGCTGTGGGCAGGAAGATGGTGGGACCAAACAGCCAAGTCATGAAAGCTCTTTTATCTGAAGAAAGGGCTCTACTGACTAGTAGAAATCCAGGCATGGGGACTGTGGAGATGGCTCAGTGTTTTGGTAAAAGTGCTTGCCGGGCAAGTATAAAAGACCTCAGTTCAGTTCCCAGCAGCCAGGTAAAAAGCCAGGAGTGCTGACACACACCTGTAATTCCAAATGCAGTAATCAGTGGAGACAGAGGGTCTCTGGAGCTTGCTGGCTACCAGCCTAGCTCCAGATTCCAGAGTGAAAAAAACAAGTATCTGATGTTCTCCTCTGGCCCCTCCTGTCCACATGCTTGTAAGCATGTATGCACACACACAGACCAAGAGAATGCTTGTTTAAATAAACAAATATTCTGTGAGTTCGAGACCAGCCTGGTCTAAAAGAGCTAGTTCCAGGACAGGCTCCAAAGCCACAGAGAAACCCTGTCTCGAAAAACCAAAAAAAAAAAAAAAAAAAAAAAAAACCAAACCGATGTTGGATTAATGCTCACACTACAATAAACTGATTTAGAATAATGAAATCCACAGGTACTAAGCAAATGGCTCTTCTAAGGTCTTAGGGCAATGGAGTCGCCAGTGGATACGGTAGCCAAAAGCACACACCACTCATCAACACAAGATGGCAGTGTTTCACAAGGGCAGAAACCGCCACTGCCAACTCTCAAGTGATGCCAACCCCTAAAATTGAAAAGTCTCTCTGAAGTAACTGCATAGACTATGAGGATGCCACCCCATGATGGAACGGCCTCATCCACTGTTGGCCACACCCCCAAAGCCTCTCTTGTTCCACATGAATCTCAGCCTTCAATGGAAACAGTAAGAGTACCAGCGTTGGTCAGGCGCTACAGTGGAGAACTGTAATGCTAGCTCCTGGGAGGCTGAGGCAAGGAGATGCCAAGTTTGAAACCCCAAGCTGAGTAGCAAAACCCTGTTTCAAAAAAAGCACCAGAACCCTAAAGCTCTTCCAAGTACAGCTATTCCATGGGGGATCAGTTCCAGGTCATCAGAGATGCCAAAATCTAGTGCATTACAGGAACTGGCACAGTACTAACATAGAACTATGCACACCCCCTGTAGAGAACAGGCACACTCCATCAATTGAGCTAAGTCCCAACCTCTCATTGACTTTATATCACCTCTACGTGACTTAAATTCCTGTAACAATGTCAATAATACCTAGTTATATAAGTACACTGTAGGGCCAGAGAGAGAGCGGAGCACATAAACGTGCTTGCCACCAAGCCCGACAACCTGACTTGGAGATCCCTGGCCCCACATGGTAAGAGAAAGCAGCTCTCCAAAGTTGTCCTCAGACCTTCACACATGAATAGTGGCAGTGGTACTATATACCCCACTCCAACCTCCACACAAAGTAGAAAGGAAGGAAGGGAGGGAGGGAGGGAGGGCGGGCGCACTATATTGCTAAAGGAAAAATAACAAGAAACAAAATCTTGACAAGTATAGACTTTGCAGGTCTGGAAATCTCTATACAGATCAGGCTTGCCGCAAACTCAGAGACCCATCTGCTACTACCTCCCAAGTGCTGAAATTAAAGGCATGGGCCACCATACCTAGCCATTTTATTTATTTTTTTGTTTGTTTCCTTTTTATGAGACAGGATCTCACCTAAGGCTGGCCTAGAACTATTTAAATCCAGCTGGCCTCAAACTCCCAGTAAGTGTTGAAATTGCAGGCGTGTGCTACCATGCCCAGCCTTTATTTTTTAAGGCTTCCTTACCTGAGATATAAATAAATAGCTGTCTTTTCCTTAAAACAGTCTCTAGAAGGTCAACAAGCTGACTTAGTAGAGACAAGCACATGCTGACGGCATAAGTCCACATAACAGAGAAACATCCTCCAAAGTTGTCCTCTAATCGCCAGGCACATCACACAACAAATAAGAAAGAAGACTGATTTCAAAAAGATAATGGGAAAGGAAGAAAGGAAGAAAGGAAGAAAGGAAGAAAGGAAGAAAGGAAGAAAGAAAGAAAGAAAGAAAGAAAGAAAGAAAGAAAGAGAAAAAGAAAAGAAAAAATTGGGTCGGGCGGTGGTGGCGCACTCCTTTAATCCCAGCACTCAGGAGGCAGAGGCAGGAGGATCTCTGTGAGTTCGAGGCCAGCCTGGTCTACAAGAGCTAGTTCCAGGACAGGAACCAAAAAGCTATTTGAAACACTGCTAAGAAACCACCTAAGGGAAAAGAAAACGGCCTAAGTCAATCTTAGTCCTCCTGCTCTAATGTCCTTGGGTATTTCTTCTTCCTGGACTCAACAAGGTGCTCCATTAACTAATTCCCACAGTGCACGAGTCATTTGAGGGGTACTACTACTGACTGTGTGCACAGAGGAAGCAAGTACTGCAACTGCTGAGCCTTAGGCACATAGTTTGAGACTAAGTCACAAACTGTGGACACCGAGTTACTGAGGCACTCAGGAGAATGAAGAAGACTGGAGACTTTGAGGCCAGCTTGGACTACCTTGTCTCAAAAAGTAAAAAACAAAGCGGGGGAGGGAGACTGACCTGCACCCCCTGGCTTGTTCCCAAGCTGTTACTTGCCAGGCAAGTCCCTTTAGCATCTCTGTGCCTCAGTTTCCTCTCCAGTCAGATGGCAGTAGTAACAGTGCTATCATCACAGAGGGTGCTGGAGTATTCAGTAAGCAACACCCTGAACACGTTGAATAGCTTCTTGTCCCAGAGAAAGCCCTTAGTGTGTCCTTGGTGATGCCCCCCACAGCCCCCTCACCAATGGTGGCTCGGATGAGAGACGAGGCATCGCCAATGTTGTTGAGACACTCTTGTTTGATGAAGTCAGCCACAGGAGGCGGGAAGCTCTGGTAATGAGCCTTCACATTATTCTTGAGGATGAGGCCACTGAGAGAGCGGGTTGGCTCGTCTGTGGGAAAGTGCTAAGGTAAGAGGGCTGTGGCAGTGAGTAGAAGCAAGACGCGCATGACATGGAGGGACAGAGAACATACCTTCTGATTTGAGTCTGGTCAGAACGAAGATCAGATAGTTGTTGAAGTCGGGAAACTGGTTGAGTTGTTTAAGTTTCTGCCAAACTGTTAAGGGACTTGGAAAGTCACTTGTATCAGGGCACCCCTGTGATCCCACACTAGGGAAGCTGAGGCAAGGTCTTGAATTCCAGGCCAGCCTGAACTATATCCCAAGATCTTGGCTCAAAAAAAAAAAAAAAAAAAAAAAACCTAACAAATAAAGAACTTGAGAGACAGGAACCTTTCCTTGGCAATATTCCTTCAGTGCTATATAGCTCAGAAAGTGAGTGACCAATGCAATTAGGCAGCCAGCAGCTCCTGGGATGACAGTGACCAATCACCACCACGACAGCACCAAAGGGCCTTTTCAGGAGACCAAGTCACACATGGACTAGGATGCATGTCTGAGCTTCCTGACCACCTCATGTCCTTGCCAGAGCAGGAGTGCGTTCGAAAAGACTACTTAAACTGAGAGCTGCTACTCACTTCTGGCTTGGGCACGCCACTGAACTGCTTTTCTCAATCAGAACGGAAGGCTACTTGGGTGTGGGGCATGCCTATAATCCTAGCACTAGGGCTGAGACAGAAAGATCACCCTAAGTGGAAGGCCAACCTGAGCTACACATTCAGTTCTCATTCTGTTCTACAGACAGACACTGAATCAAAAAAGCAGCAAAGCACACGCCTTGCACATGGTAGGCCATTCAGTCTCCGGCCTTGGGAGAGAGAACGACTGGGAATCCAGGGAGCAGGACTCAGGGATGCAACTGGAAGACAATGAGTGGCCAGCATGCCCCAGGCCCTTATGTTCCAGCCTCCACACTGCAGAAAAAGGTGGGGGACTTGTCCCATTTTCAAGTGAAACTTGATACTGTTCACAGGTCTACATAAGACTCCGAGATTCGCTTGCCTCTGCCTCCTGAACACTGTGTTTAATGCCACCATGACCATTTCATTTAACTCTGGACTCATTATTCTAATCCGCTTCTCTGCTGCTGCGATAAAACGCTGACCAAGAGCCAAGGCAGGGAGTAAAGCATTTGTTTTAGTTCATCATGGAGAGAGAAGTCCCAAAGCAGAAACCATTGTGCAAAGTGGCTCCTTCCCAGACTCTCAATCCTTTCTTATACAGCCCAGGTCCACAACGGGCTGGGCTAGACCAATCAAGAAAACGCCCCACATCCATTCCCACAGGCCATTCTGATAGAGTTAATCGAAGATCCCTCTCATAGATGTATCAAATTGACAACAAAACTAACCAAGATACTTATATTGTTAAACAAGCAGCAAAAAAAAAAAAAAAAAAAAAGTTTTCAACCACACTCATGTTGCAACTCCAGCGTTCCTCCCCATCTAGCCTCATTGTGACAGGGCAAATTGGACTAAATCTGAGATGGCTGGGCTTCTCACCCTGGTTCCTAGCTGAAGCTTAGCAAGGCATTTCTCCTTTCTAAGCCTCCAGGTCCCCATCTATAAAACGAGAGTTAACAGCATCATTTTCAACAGGATTAAGTGCTCAGTGAACTGACCAGGCATTCCCATCATTCTATGCACCTCTGGAAATGGAACCCAGGGATCTAAGCCTTTAATTCTCATTCTCATGTCATGTTCTTTCTTGCAACCGAGTCTGGGGATCAAGAAGTGGTCCCTCCCTCTCTAGCTTTCACGAGGTGCAGACACCAGCCCCGTTCCATCAGCCCCGGAAGGAAAGAAGGATACATCCTGCACAATGCGCTGAGTAGCTGTGTTGGGCGACTGCGAGTCTTTGAGAAGCTGCAAGACCTGCTGCAGGCCCTGCTCGTCTGGCTGCCAGTCCATGGCGCAAGGCGAACTGCAGGGGTAGGGGCCTGGGTCAGCGCTGGGTCGCTGGGGTTCTGTGTGAGACCCAACTTGAATCCCCAAGGCAGAGGCGGCTGCATGCAGACGCAATCGCTCTCCGCGGAGAAGCAGAGGCCTCGGATCCGCGCCTATCCAAGTGCGGGGTCCCCGCCAGCTAAACCATCCTCGGCCACGCACTCGCGGGCTCGAGAGTGCGAGTGGGGGGAATATAAAAGCGGGCCATCAGGGCCGGTGGCGGGGACGCGTCGGATCCACAGCGAGCCTAACGTGGAACCCTCTTCCCATGGCGGCGGCGCCACCGCCGCCGCCCCCGGTTATGGGCCCTACGGCTTCCGCCTCACTCGAGAGCGAGGGCCTTGCCCCAGCGGTCTTCCAGGTGAAGGCTCAGTCCACGAGGATTCCTTCCCTCAAAATCCAGCCTTCAAGCTCCGCTAGATCCCAGCCACCTCCTAGGTTCCAGAGCTCCTCTAAGTCCCTAAGCGCCTAGATCCTTCTCATTCCTGCTACCTCCCCTAAACCGGCCCTACAAGCTCCGCAAACGTACATGCCCCCCTTTTTTGTCTAGACGCGACCCAGTGACTCCCCTTAACCAGAATACCAGCAATGCCCGACAGATCTCTGAACGAGAGCTAGTTAAAACCACGCAACCCGTCCCAAGCCCCCAGAACCTGTGCCCGCTGCCTGCCCCAATCAGGTCTGGCCAAGCCTCTCTCGCTCTCACCCTCAGCCCCAGTCAGCAGTAATTCCTGCTGACGGATCTCTGGCAGCTCCCCCAGTCAAGTTCTCTTAAGCCCCCCGACCACTTCGTGTCGGAGACCCCACCTGTCCAATCCCTAAAGCTTCCCCTAAAGAGTCCCGAACAAACACTCGCCCGGAGCGCTACTCTCAACGGATCCCCACCACCGCTTCACAGTCAGACCCAGCAAAGCCCTCTGGATTTAAGTCTGACGCCCCTCTCTATTAGGACCTAACAAGTCCCCCCCACCCCCCAACTTTCAAGGCTGTCTCTCTCAATCAGACCCAACCAAAACCCGCCGAAACAGATCCACACACACACCCGATCCTCGAGACGTCCCCCGACGATTTCCCCCAATCAGGGCCCCTCCAACCCGACCCCAGCCGCCCAACTGGCCCGCATCTCGTGGCACCCAAACCTGCCCGGGCGCCGAGGCCCCACCCCCTGAGATCGGCTCAGCTCCCCCTCCCCCGCCCGGCCCGTTCTGCCGGCCTCGCGAGCTGGCCCAACCCGGTTCCCCGCCTCTCAGCCGGGCGCGACCCCGACGCCTGGGCGGCGCGCGGCGCAGGCCCAGAACCCACAGAGGTTCGAGGAGAGCTGAAGCCAAGGGGCCCCGGCCGAGAGAGGCCCACCTACCAGGCCCTGGGAGGCAGCGGCGGCGCCTAAGTGCTGCAGCTTCTCCAGAGGCTCGCGCGGAAGGAGGGAGCCAAAGGCTGGGAATAAAAAAATAAAATAAACGCGGCCGAAATGAATAGCTTCGGCTTCCGTAGGCCGTTCAAACTGGCCTGGCCAAGCCAATCGGAAGGTGCAGCACTCACACGTGATCTCGAAGAGCGATCACAGCCGTGCGGTCACGTGACTGAATAAGTACCGCCCCCCTCTAGCTGTTAGGTCCTCCCAGCATCTCGTCTCCTTTTTCTCACTGCACCTTTCTTCTTCCTTTCTTTTTAAATGTGTATTGATGTTTTACCTGAACCATGAGCGTTCAGGAGCGTGGGGACCAGAAAAAGGCATTGGGCTCCTCCCTGGAAAGGGAGTTACAGATGTTTGTGAGCCGCTATATGGATGTAGAAATCAAACCTAGGTCCTCTGCAAGAGTAGCCAGTACTCGTACCCACTGGATTTTCCCTCCAGCCCTCCTGACTGCATCTTGTTGCTGCAGCTAGAAATTTCCAAGTGCATGGGAGCTCCGGGTATGTAATGGGTCTAGGAATCCCTCAGCCACAACTAATTTCACTCTTACTACACTCCTTAAGAATTAAACTGTTCTCAGCCCGGTGTGGTGACCCATAAAACTCTAATCTCAGGATTTGGGGGAGGAGGGCGGAAATAGGAAGTAAGGCAACAGTATACCCACTGGTACCAGGAAAGTCTGGGCTACATCATGAAACCCTTTCATCAAAAAACAAACGATCTTGAAAAAAATAAATAAAAACTGAAATGGCTGTTTCTCTTTCTCCCTTAAACAACATCTGACCCACATGTGAATAAAGAGGACACGCAGTTTGGAGTGGATTTTATGCCTGAGACACAAGCAACTCTCTGATCTTTGTTATTGTTCAATACTGTAACACTTTTACATGGAACTGAAAATACTACAGGCTATTTTTAACTTTTTTAATTTAATGTATGTGGAGGTTTTGCCTGCATGTGTGTCTGGTGGCAGTAAAAGTCAAAAGAGTTGAATCTCCTGGAACTAGAGCTACCAGATACTTAGTTGTAAGCAACGATAGCACTTGAACCATGGTCCTATGGAAGAGTAAACAAATTCTCTTAACCGCTGGGTCAACTCTCCAGCCCCTGGCTATAACTTTTTAAATAAAATGATCTAGTAAATTCGAACAGAAGACCTAATCCCTTCCCTACCTGAAGATAAAAATGAGATGAGAGCCCTTGCCCAGAGAATTTAGGCAAGGGCAGGATCCTGAGTCCTTCTGCCAACAGAATCCAATAGTTTTTCCTTTTCAACAGCAGAACATAGTACTCTAGAATTGGAGACCCTGGTGGTTCCTCTACTTCCCCTCCTAGCCCTGTCGCCGATTAAAGCGCTCGCTCTCCTGCGACTAGCCTCCTCCATTTCAGGGAATAGTGTATACTTTGTTACATTAGAGATAATCCACGATAAATTTAGCTGACCGGTCGTAAATTAGTCTTTGAAATTTTGGCTTTTAGCACAGCTTCGTTGTCTTCGCACAATGCCTAAACCAATATTTACTAAACCAACCAGAACTCTAATCCCAAAAGACAACCGAGTTCTGTCCTATTTCATTGACCTTCAGATGAGGGACAGGGAGGTAAGCCTCAACTGGAAAAGAGAAACAACTTAGAACACTTCTTTAACACAATCAGTCCCGACAGCGTTCACTAATGAAAAGCAAGAACTGGAGCCTCTTTTACTAGGCTCGGGTGAGAGAATCAATGGAAAGCTCCCAAATAGATTAGCTGAAAACTCTCACTATAAACAGAAACCCTCCTTAAAAGACACGTGCAGCAAGCCGCATACACATGCGCAGAGCTTCCTCTTGCCTCGCCACTACTCACACACATCCGTGACCCTTGAAACTACAAGTCCCAAAGTGCCTTGCGCTCAGGACGCCACACACGGTTTATTCGCGATGGTGGGCTGCACCCTCACAGTTCTGAGTTGGAAGGCCCCACCCAGAAAAGGTTAACTTTTGGGAATTTTTTTTCATCATTTTTTTTGGAGTGGGGGGGTGAAATGTTTGATCAAACATGGGCATTGACTCCAGGTAGAGGCCACGTGGAGCGTGTATGGAATGGAGACTAATACTTTTTAAATGTTTGTGTTCAAATGGCTTGTTTGACAACTTGCACAGCGGGTTTTCACTACATGGGTCCTAGGAACTCAGGTTTTCAGGATGCTCCTTGATCCACCATGCCATCTCACTGGCCCTTTATTAAAATCTCTTTTCCTAAGGCAGGGTCTGTGTTACCCAAGCTGGCCTCCAACTTGGCAGTCTTCTTGCCTTAGCCTCCTGAGTGACCACTACACTAGCTTAGTAGCAGTCTCTTCCCTTTTTCCACAAGAGATTTTGGATCAGAACAAGTTTCCTGGCCTGTTTTTTGCTGTTTTGATACGGTGTACTTTTTATTGCCCAGGCTGGTCTTAAAACCATCCACATCAGCCTCCTGGATAACTACAGTTGAGCACCACTATACTGGGTTCTCCCATCTTTATCATTTATTCCCTGTCATGAGGTTTCCAAATATTATTTTCCTATGCAATTCTCAGAGTGGCCTAAGGCACCCAATATTTACTTGAGTTCAACTAAAAGCATTCAACTTGCGTTCAACTCTGAATCTGAAGGGAAAACAAACACTTTGGTGTTTAGAATGTGTAGTTAGTTACTCATGGTCTCTGGAGTGGTCTCCTAACATAGATGAGGCCTTGGGTTCCATAGCAGTCGTTCAAAAACTGTGTTCTAGGAGAGGTTGGAAAGAAAGATGGCTCAACAGATTAAGGTACTTGCCACCACACTAAACAACCTGAGTTCCATCCCACATGGTAGAGAAAACTGACTAAAGGAAGTCCACTGACTTCCACATGTGTGCCATAGTAGAAATATGCACACACGCGCACACGCACACGCGCACACACACACACACACACACGTATAGTTTAAAAACGAATGTAACAAGGGCTGGAAAGAAGCCTCATGCACTGCTCTTGCAGAGGACCCAAGTTCAGTCCCCAGGACTTACAATCTGGCAAAAAGGAAGCACCTGCAACAACAGCTCCAGAGGAACCAAACCCCTCTACAAGAGCAGCAAATACTCACAACCAGTATGCCATCTCTCCAGCTTCAGTCCAATTTTTAAACAAGGCCTCCAAGATGTAGGTCAATGTTAGTGTGCCTGCCAGCATGCACCAAAAAATAGTTTCCATCCAGAACTGTAGAATACAGCCTATAAACAACATAAGCTAACTTCTCTCAGAGAACCAATGAAGGCACTTTAATAATAAACTACACACACACACACACACACACACACACACACACACACACACACACGTTTGCTTTTTGTAGTGATGAGGATCTCAAATGCCAGGCAAATGCCTGGCATCACTAAGATACACCCCAGTCCTGGCTCTTTACAACTTGAATTTAAAAATGCTTCCCTATCTTTAAAAATAAGACAAAAGAAAGTCAGGTGTGGGGCCGGGTTGCAATGGCACACACTTTGATCCCATCACTCAGGAGGCAGAGGCAAGGGATCTCTGTGAGCTCAAGGCCAGCCTGGTCTAGAGTAAGCTCCAGTACAGCACAAGACCACACACAGAAACCCTGTCTCAAGCGCCCCCCTCCTCCCATAAAGCCATGTGTTTGTACACACCTTTAATCTCAGCTCTTGGGAGGCAGAGTCTGGTGGATCTCTCTGTGTTGAAGGCCTTTCTGGTTTACATAGTGAGTTCCAGGACAGTCAAGGTTACAAAAAGAAAACCTGTCTCAAATGACCAAAAATAAATTGACAGACGACCCAAGCCATGGAAAAGTTGAGTGATGGAGTAGTGAAATGGCCCAGGGGTTAAGGGCACTAAATGTTCTTCCATAAGACCAGAGTTCAGTTCCTAGCACCCTTGACAGGTGGTTGACAACTGGCTCTAACTCCATCCCCCAGGGATTTAACACATCTGTATACATATGGCAGATATAGACATACAAATGAAAAAAAAAATCAATTTTAAAAAGGATAAGTGATCTATAAAAACAGCTAACAGGCACAAAAAGCAGCAGAAGAGGGCTGTGACTCACCCACACTTGTACCTGAATTTCCTTTTGCTTTTCCTAGGTTGCACATCTGGCTAGACTGCGATGAGAAGGGCCTGGATTTCAACTCGCCCTGCTTATTGACACACTCCAGAATAGAGGCCAAGCTGCTGTAGCGGTGACCTACTTGTGTCTGTGTGTTTAAGATCCACTGCTGTTGGCTTCCAAGGAGACAGCCACAGCTGACTCCATTAGCTTTGTTTGCTCCCCTATCATTAACCCACCCAACCCCTCTTTTGAAGACCTATGACCCCTAGATCTTTATACCTGCTGTTACCTCTGCCTTGGAGGACCTTCCACAGACTGTCCTGCCATCTTTGAAATCTAGAGCAAATGTTATCTTACCAATCTGTCAATCCTGACCAACTTTACATTTTATATGTGGTTTTGGGGAGACTCTACATGAGACAAGGGATACCCTAAATTCCTAATCCACTGCCTCCACCTCCCAAGCACTGAGATCAAAGGCATGAGTCACCATGCCCAGTTCCTACATCATACTTGTTAAATGAGTGAATGAACACAGTTGTCTTCAGATTGCTTTAACGAAAGGCCGGGGCACCCCTCAACATTCCTGGACCACAGCTATCTTGTCCTTCCTCAGTAACCATCAGAGCTTGCTACTATAAAACTTATCCTTATATAGTGTCTTGAGATCTCTACTAAGACACTTCCTCTTCTCACCTCCTTCCCTCCAGACTTTGATCAGATGTCACCTAAAGAGGCAGGAAAGATGGCTTATCTGTTAAAAAGCATTGCTGCTCCCCTACAGAACCCAGGTTGAGTTATTAGCAACTATATGGCAGCTCATACATAACTAACCAGCTGTAACTCTGATTCCAGGGAATCGGCTGCTCTTTTCTGGCCTCCACAGGTACCAGGTATGCATGTGGTGCACTGACATACATGCAAGCAAAACCTGAACATGTAAAAATAAAGGAACATATGGGGGAGGGGGGGAAAAAGGAACATATGGCCAGGCAGTGGTGGCACACTCCTCTACTCCCAGCACTCATGAAGGGACAGGCATATTTCTGTGAGTTCAAGGTCAGCCTGGTCTACAGCGCTAGTTCCAAGACAAGCTCCAAAGCTACACAGAGAAACCCTGTCTCAAAAAACAAAAGCAACCAAAAAAGTGACATGTGGGCTGGAAAGATATATAAGCCATTAAAGGCTCTGCTCACAACCAAAAATATAAAGTGGTCTAAAACAGACATCCCCTCCTGCAACAAGCCTCTGTTCTATCCTTGTTAGTAGTCACCACCCAAAAAGCCATGCCTTTTCTTCCCATCTGTCTCCTGTAACAACAGAGAAAATGTAGGCTGTTTAAAGCTCTGGTCCCTAGAATCCAGAACAGCGTTGGCATATATGCTTAGTCAGTACCTAGGGAATAAATAAAATAGCAGCTCTGTATTAACCAAAACGTAAGATTAGTGCACTGCACAAATGTGGAGTGCTGGAGATTGAACACACCTTACATGTACTGGGCAAGCAAACTCACACTTAAGTACACCCCAAGTCACAGCTAAACTGAGACTGTGAGGAGACTTGGAAGGTAGTACAAGTCCATACCATGCTGCCAAGGCAGGAGACAAACCCTATATACTTAAGACCCTGTCTCAAAACAAAAACAAGACAGGCCTTTAAGTGTCACAGTTACTAAAAAAGGAAGAAAGATGTCCTGAGTATAAGATGGGTAGCATGTGCCCCTGCCTACAGAACCTTCCCCTCTGCCCTTCACAAAGGCTCCACCCCAGCACTGGTAGACATGGTAGCCACTAGTGGGCAAAGTCTTAGCTTGGAGATCGCAAAGATGACAAACCGAGCACACAACTCCAGCACTAAATCAGGTTCTTTACTTCTCAGAAGTGACTGCTAAAAGGAGAGACAGCGAGAAGAGACAGACAGAGCCAGAGAAAGCGAGGTGGTGGGAAGAAAGGGGACAGTAAACCACTGGTCTAGTAAGTCTCAGGAGGCAAGTGCTCAAGGTAAAAAAAGAGTCCTGGAGAATGGTCTGCGGCCACGGGAAGCGCCTTGGTTTCCTTCTGTGTATCAGTCCTCCAGGAAGGCCGCTGCCATTACCGCATTAAATAGTTATGTACATCGCAGAGAGTCCCAGGCAGTGAGCACCCAGGAAGGGGTCATTTCACCAGGGGCCGAGTTTTATCATCATCACCGCACTGGTGGGCTTTATACTTTTTCACTTCTGCCATGTACTTGGCCCATGCGTCACCTTTACTTGTTAATACCTGTGGGGTCGAAGAGGGGAGGACCAGTTGGAAGACAGATGATGAAGCAGCTGGGACAAGAGTCAGGAACACAATGAGACAGCTAACCCATCCCTAATGTCCCCCTAAATGCCTTGGGTTTGAGGTGAAAATAAGCAGAAGCAGGTTATCTGGGGGACCTCCCACCCTACCAGACCCACCCATCCAAAGCCTGAATCTGGAAAGACAAGACAGTTGGGGTGGCACCCCTAGCCAGCCCACTCACCTCATCCTCCGTCTTCTGCTTCTTGGCTACTATTCCCGTCTTGAGGGCTAGTTTGTTTCCGCCTCTGCGCTTGCCCACCTGGGTGAAGGGACAGAAGACTGCAAGGGTTACAGGAGCCGGGCCCGCCCTTGGCGGTGCTGAGGCCCACTACACCTTCCTAGCGACGCCTCGCCCAGCTCCTCCAGCCGGCCGACCTGCGCAGCAATCAGAGAGGAGCACACTCGACTCAGCACCTGCCCTGGGCTGCCATTCCCAGGCAGTCCTGGGCCCCAGACTACCCTCCCAGGGGGCAGAGGAGTGCTCACCTTGCTGGGGAGTGGCACTGTCCTCTCTCTTTCTGCCCAGGCCTCCCCCTGTCCTGGC